TAAAAGTAAGAAATATAACATACCTACCGATTGCATGTGCAAAGAGGGTACCTTTTCAGCAGATTTCGCAAAGAGGGTGCCGATATGGATATGCACCGTGTAGTTCAGCCACCGCATCGTTCCTGGACAGGCTGTCAATCAGTTTACCACCAGTACTAGTTGCCTTCACTTTATCAAGAAACTGATTACTTATGTTCATACAAAAGCAGTGCGAATGACCGTAGGAAGGATTTCATGATCAATCACAACGAAAGTGACCTGCGCCGTCCGGGAATCAACCCGGGTCCCCCGATTTACAATCCAACGCTCTACCTATTGGGCTTACCGGACGGCCTTTCTATTCGCAAAGACGTCCGTCCGTTTGATTTTATAAGGATGTTTAGAAACAACGTTTACAGATCCGTCACTCTGTCTGAGATGTTTAATAAATAATTAGGAGTTCTACATTAAAACCGGGTTACTGATCCGTATTCCAGATTGCATTTATCGGCAATTGATTATATCCTTTTTGTTTGGTATAGCCATTAAACATAATTGCATTTAAAATATTCATTATTCAGAACAAATAATATGTGATACCAACTCCTGTTTGGTATTCATTCTGAATGGCTCAATTTTAATCTATAATTATATACTTAAATTTTAATTGTCCTTACACATTCCTCCTATACACTTGTGTTCTTCGAACTTCAGCAAGGGAGCATCACAATTATCGTGTCAGTGCACGCGACAAAGTTACTATTTAAGGTATGTGAAAAAAAAATTGAATAAAAACAAATAAAACAATGAGTACCTGTCACCGTTTTATAAGTTTTTAGTTAAGATTGAGGTTTTCAAAGAACTGAAAGATTTTTTTTAGAAACAATACTATGTTATGGGGGAGATATTTAGATCCTTCATTTTATTCCTTACTTTATTTATTTATGATAAATTGAAGGACAATATACACGTATCTTAGGATTACATCTCTGTGGAAACTATTTATTGTTCTACAGTTATAATAATCAGTTAAGAGCAATAATTATATAGACCGGGGCATAGTAATAATCACTAAAAAGTTAACACCGAATCGGATTGGTACTTATAAACTATACATGCATAAAAAGGAGACCGAGTAATATGTTACACAGGTGTGATTAATAAATGAATAAAGTTAAATCATAAAAGTGAAAATGATGATTCGTTAAAAAAATATAACGGGGAGAGATAATACAGGTAAAGCATTATGTTTACTTTAAGTTAAAACTTGCAAGATGTTAAAATCCTTAGATAAATTGTCGGTATTTAGTTAGAACTTGTTTGTTATTTTAATTTATTTTATGCTTTTCAGTGGATTACTAATTTATCCGTGAAAATTATATTTGATAATTTCACAGTAAAAATTATCAAAATATAATTTCACACTTTTCAGTGACGAAACTACTTTTTAAAGATTTTCCCCATGTGGTACCTCAATTTTATTTTTGCTGACAATTCTGACAATGCCAGGCTGTTTAAAGAGAAAGTAAAGCTGAAATTGATAAATAACTTGAATGTCAAAAGTAATAAACAGAAGAAAACTTACTTCTATTCATACTAATCACCAAATTTCGTCTCTAAATTTTTTTGTCTCAATTTTTACAGTCTGAAAAATACATTCCTTCCACATGCAAAACTGCTCTTGATAACATTTGGGCATATTAAAGTATCCTACGAGCAATAACTGTCGTGTGCTTTATGAAAAATTGGAAAGAAATGGCAGTCATCCTCTCGTAGAATAAGTAAACTACCCAGCGTTCCTGAGCCAGCTTCCAAGTTTTCCATTTTTCTATCTGCATTTTGAATGTTTTTACACCTGTCAACACTTATTTTTTGTCTGTTACAATCCTCAAATAAGTTTTCTTTCTTTTAAAAAGGTGTATGACTAACAAATCCAAATGATATCCCTCTGAATCAAACACAATTATTTTCCTCCCGCTGCCGCTTACATTAAACAAAGCCAGGTTTAATATAAATTCGCAGTAAGTAACAGAAATTTGAATGGATGGTTGGACTTTTTCTCTTACAAGAATTGTTTGTTTTTATTATTAAAACAAGCAAACGTTCATATTTTTTTAATAAAATGAATAATATCACCGTCATTTATCGTTGATTGCCGAACTTATTTTCAGCTCAAGACTTCTTGTAATTAATGAGAAATTCCGACTAAATGAGGCCTTCAATGGGGAAATATTAAAGTTGATATTATGGAAATTTCGTTTTAACTTGTTTTTAAGCATAAAATAAAAAGAAAATTTGTTTGTTTGTTGTGTAAAATGTAATTTTATTTCATCTCGTGAACTTTAAAAACAGTATACTGAGAATACTGTTTTTAAAGCCCACTCGATGAAATAAAATTTCATCTTACACACAAACAAACAAATATCCTCAATATCTTCATTTCTAAAATACATCATTATATATTTAAAAGTTGTTTACTATCTGTAGTGACTGTGTTTAGTACTTGATTATTATTTTAGTCTTTCTTTATTTCAATCGGGTTAAGTCAGCATTTAGAAATTGTTGTTTTCCTAAATCTCACGTTAATAACATTGATTTGAAAAAAGATCAATCTCTCTTTCTCCAAAACTTCATAAATATGCGAAGTATTGAAATAATGTGATACAAGTGCAGTATTTCAAAAAGCATCTCCCAGGGATCGAACCCACACCAGAGAGGTTAAATCGGCAAATAATAGTAAATCGACTGTTATAAAAATAATTTCAAATACTAAATTTGTAAGAGTTTTGACACATGATACAAGATGTAAGGGAAGCTTAATCATTAAAGTTTAATTTAGCACCTAAAACTCACTTTTAAAAGATGAAAATTACAATTTTTGACCAGTGTTTTTGTAGTATATACAAATGTTTTCCGACGGACTCCTTGACAGTTATTACAAGAACTGCCGAGAAGTTATCATAAGAACTCAAACCCTCATGCAACCGTGTCCCTGTAGTTATCAGACTCGAACCCAAGTTTCCTGGTATAAGAGACAGGAATCATATCACTAGACAATTCATTTTATTTACCGACGGCCCACTCCCAACCACAAAGGGGAGAAAGGATAAGTAAAAAAAAGGAACTGGCTTGGAGATTATAAAACTTTTTTTTTTCTGAAATCAGTCTCGAATCTCAGGATTTCATTGGTTAATATTATTCTGGCTTTTGACAAATCAAACACCTGATATCTGAGCAAAAGCATACGAGGGATATTCTTTATAACATTAAACTTTGGTGCGTGAATTTGTAAATGAATTTAACCAGATACCTTTTTAGTAGGACTACTTTTTGAACTGTTGATTAACATTTAACTATTAAACTTGTAAAATATCAGACAATATCCAATTGACAATGCACTTTATTTAAATAATTAGTAAACTATTTATAACCAAATTTGTATAGATACGTGATTGCTTTAGCACGATTCGTTTTGAATCAATATTTCACTTTTCACTCTGTGTAACGGGTGCAACATGATACGGAGCCGTGTTTATTATAGTTAACCCAGTGCTCTTTTGTAAAAAAACACGTACAAGTTAATTCAGGATTTTGGACAAAAATTGAAGTTTAATCAAGGTAACTTTCTTATAGCATTAGCAAATATGCATAAATAATTATTTTAATGCAATATTTTTTGTTTAATTAATGATAAAAATAGTATTATTTATATATTTAAATGTCTGCCAGTTTTTGGCTAAAGCTCCAAAATTTTAGTAAATTTAGCAATTAAAACAAAAAATAAAATTACTAATTATCATTAACTTTGATTCATATTTAGGTACATAAGTTGCTAGCTTAACAAAACGAGATGTTGAGTGATGTGTGTGCATTTTAGAATATTTGTGTGTGGAACACAGCACGTGCAGCACACAGAGCAACACAGCACCGCACTGCAAAACACAGCTATGTATAGAAAGGGTGAAATTCCAAGGCATGCCTAGCTTAATTTCAAATAATCGTAATAGAGACATTTTCTATATTGTAGTCATGAAAGATTTTATAAAAGGTTAATTTACGCTTTAGCATTCATCAAGATTGATTTATCTTGTGCAAATCATTTTCAAATCCAGTTAAGGAGACTTGGACAACACATTACACTTTCTGCTCCAGAAGCATTAGGAAAATGCCATATTATAACGGCACATACATGTATATGACTAAGCATGTCATATCTCGTCATTAATGTCGGAACTTTTAGTCTCTAATACAAAAGAATCGCACTATCCTCAATAGCTAGTGTCTTTTGGGATTAATAAATTTAGTCAGACAATAATATCGCATCCAGACTCGTTAATCCAGATATTGATTATCTGTCTTGATCTTAATTACTATCTGCTGAAAAATTGAGGCAAATGTTATGTCTGAGTTAACTTATTCTCAGTGGCTTTCTAACTGCAATCGTCACAAATAAAATAGAATGAAAGGTTATAGCTATATGGTAAATGCATCTGTTTTCGTGTATTAAGATCTGCAGAAGCACAAGGATGCATTTAAAGCACATGCCCTCAGGCCAGGAATTCAATAAGCCAAGAAAAAGGTGCATTAGCCATATTCTTGCATGACAATGCACAGATAATAATAACTGCGTGTTCCTCTTCTAAAAAAGTATGTGTCTTGGATCCCTCTTGGATCACAATTGGCAGGCCCATGGGGTCACTTAAGGTAGTTTATTCGTCACTTGCGAAATCTGTTATACTGAATAATCCGAGGACATCTTGTAATTATTAAATGATTTCTTATTAACCGATATTTGTTGATATTATACATAAAAAAACAACAAAAAAACAAAAAGAAAACAACAACAACAACAATGCAAACTCAGTCTCTCGTAAATGAAATGTGAAATGTATTGATTTAAGATATTTTCACTTATTTGCGCAATATTGCATGTCATAGTATAGGCTTTTAATGAACCGAACATATTGAAATGGACTTAAAACAGAAACGTAAGAAACGTATTAGAATTTGCAACGGAGAATCGAAAACACGGATTTAGTTTTCACAGAAAGCCAATTTCATATTTAACAATCAGTACAAATAAAAATTGTGCGTGCTGAATACTTTAACTGCGTTTATTTTGTACCCGTGCCATATTAAATTCCTTATGCTAGAAAAGCTTTTCTGTTGTTAACAGATCAACACTTCACACTCTAAAAAGGTATAAGGGAGTAATTGTGCAAATTGTTTTTATTCTTTTATAAAAGGTTGATGAATTTCTTAACAAAGTAGGGTAGAATAAACAATGATAATGTGGATGAAGAGATGGCTTAAGATTCTACTGCTCTTCGTTGTGGTAATCATACTTTCCATGCTTGTGATCACACAGCGGTTATCGTCTACTATAAATAGTTACCAAACAGAGCAAAGTGGGCGGAGTGAAACTAGAAACGTGACGGCTATAAATAGCAACCAATCGAAACAAAAAAGGACCATTCAAAGGACTGATACGAGTAAGATGAAAAAACAACATAAACATATTGCAAGAAAAAATTATAGAAAGACATGTACTGTTATGCGACTGAAGGTATTATTTTAGTATTTATATGTTTATTATACGTTTTTCACTTATTTATTAAGTAATTTTCTTACATGTATCTTATGAAGTAGACATGTAAGTGAACGTTAAGTACGGTTATAGTACGAACGTTATCATACAAGACTTTCCTTTTCATGCGTGGTCAAGTTGTTTATTAAACACAGCTTTAATCTTACTCATTTTATTTGGACGTTGGTTCTGTTATCTTTCCTTCCTGTTCCTGGTACTTACCGAATAAGTACAATGGTTGATACAAGTTTACAACGACTTAATTCCTTTCCTGAAAAGATTTCTTCTAATTTTAGATATGGTTAACCTTACTATAAATAGCTATCCTTTTATTATATAAGAAAATATATAGTGTGTATAGATGCAATTCATAGTGATTCATACTAGTATGTTTACAGCATAATTATAACACAATGATCATAATTATCATTATCGTTCAGACCCGCAGCATTTACCACCCGCCCCCCCCCCTCCCCTACCCTGCTCAACCGAAAGTTAGTAACCTTAGCAGCTTTATATCGTGGGCGTCTGACCTGGCCTTTTATTGTTAGCAAATGTTCCACTTGAGGTCCCCCCCCCCCAATAAAAAAAATAATGAAACTGGACATGTTAATATTAAGGAATTCGGATATAGATATGTTATTATATATAGTTAAAGAATTCTTAAACTGATGAAAACATATTAATTTTGTTGTTGTTGTTCTATATAACTGATACAAAAGTGTTACTTAAATTGTTAATTCTTTTCAAACAAGACGATGAAATTTTGTTTTGTTTTGTATTTGTTTCAAGAATATGAAAAGTTTAATAATGTCTTTTGAACCACTGTCAATTTTACATCTAGTAACTTAATCAATTACAATTATAACATATCAAAATGTTTTATGTTTTATCATACTTTCAACAAATCACATTAAAAGAATAATTTACAAAAGAATTCTAATCTCATGTACATTTACGTAATTTTAATCGATAATAATGTGTCATGTATAGAACGTTTTCGTTATAAATACTTGTAAGCCAGTCGCTATTCATCCACTTCAAACAATTTGATACCTGATAACAAAATTCTTTGAAAATCAACTTTAAATTTTTAGAACAGACTGCGAGGTAAAATCAATGGAATGACTCAATGTAAGAAGCATCCGTTCCTATCACGTGACTGTTACTCTAATTTCTATAAACCATACGCAATTGATATAGAGGGGGCATGCAGGAAGCCCGGGTCAAAACAGTTTTGCAGCATCACCGTAAGTTCTTACTTTCTTATTGACCATATAGCACTTCCGACGCCGAGTGTTGAATGTCGTCGGCTTTATGCGCAATGCTCCTCACTGCTGTCCGAATCCCGCGAGGGATTTCGGTTTCTTTCATGAGCAAGCTTACAGAACGTTTGTGGTTCTACGCAGGTGGGGCACATGAGGTTTTCCTCCACCTGTAAAGCTGGAAAGTTGCCATAAGGCCATTACAATGTTGGTGACATATACCAGCTCCCCTCAAACAGTAATGTTTTTTTCGAAATTTCAGCAATTCTTTTGGGAGAAAAACAGTCCTTGGTGGAAATGAACTTATGAATACTTGATAGATGACCTTCTAGACCTTAGATGATTTAAACTATTGAACCCTTTATGCGTTACATTTTAAATGGAAGTGTCCGTCTTTCAATCTTAACAAATCTACCCGTATCTCTTCTTCATAGAAACTGGGAAACTTTTAAAATGTGTACTGACAGTGGTCACCAGCAGACTAATGGATACACAAATCATATTTGTATTTATCACGTGTTAATAGGTAAGACATTTGATGCTAGGCCGAAGATCACAGTTCTGCCAACAGTTTTAAATACCCTGAATCGATTACTACTTTCCATTTCTTCGGGATGAAATGAGGTCGGTTATTCGCTCTTTTCTTCTGAATAATAGTAAATAATTTTACCTTTTAATACCATCCAATGATTGATAAGTGTTGTATTTCAGGGCACTCCTGATCAGTGGGGTGTGCACTGTAACATTACATCATGTGGTAAGAAGGTGTACCTTGGGACAAAAACAATTGACAGAATTAATTGGAAAGTGTATGGAAACAAAGAAGATCTTCAAAAATCAATTGCAAATCTTATTCAAAGTAGTACAACACGATTCTGTTTTATTTCATGTTTTACGCTCCATAGTCATGGTTTTGAACCACAGATATTAAACCTACCACCCCCGCCGCAAAGGACTAACCATAAAGCCAAACGCAAAAGTCGCAGAGAACAAAACCATATGAATTTGAATTTTATAATGATAGATTCTGTTTCAAGGGTCCACTTCTTCAGATCTTTACCTAGGTCTGTAAAGGCTTTAAACGAGATTACAACTGAGCATGAAGATGCAATGGTTCTAGATTTTGAGTTAGTACAAGGAATTCGGTCGAGAACGTTCGAAACTTTGCAAGCTCTCTTTTCCGGTTATGTAAACCCGTATGAAGTTCCGTTTGGAATAAATGATTTGTCGAAAGAAAAGCTGAATGTAGCGAAATGGCTTTTGCCATTGAGGGAGCTGGATTTTTCAAGTCTTTGGTTGGAAGACATGTGCCCATTCACAGGATGGGGATTGTCAAGAGATTTGCTAGTTTTAAACAGAACTTTGGATAAACAATCTTTTTATATGAAATTTTTAGATACATGTAGAAAAGTAGGAATTGACGATATTGGGAACACGTTAGCTAGCTGTAACATTCTTAAATCTAACGGGATGAGTAACCCCTTTAATTCAAAGACAATCTGTTATAACGGGAGACATCATCATTCATATTTGTTTTCATATCTAAATATGTTTCAAAGGACCATGAACCATAGGGCCAAACCTTTCATATCATACATGGTATCAAGTATAGCTCATGAACTTGTCGGCAAAAGAAATCAATACATTGATAGTGATTTAGCGGAGTATTTAAAATTTTCAAGTGGCATGGACAACACATTAACTATAGTGTTCTCCGATCATGGCAATGCATACCGAGATAGCCAAAGTAGAAATTCCAACAGAGTATTAGAAGTATTCAATCCCTTTCTATTCATGATTATACCAAAATCAGTTCAGTCAATGCTTACTGCCAATCAAATGCAAGCTCTGAAGATCAACCAGAATCGATTGATAAGTTTATTAGACCTCCATTATACTATATCCTACATCATTCGACTATTGCAGAATGAAAACAATTCTGAAACAAGCTTAGACAATGATGTCAATGACTTTAACAATCAATTTCAATGTATCTGGAGAGGGGCTACTCACAGAAATATCAGCGTCAAGAACTTGCAGCATCATGCCAAGAATAATGCCGAACCTTTGCATCTGTAAAGGGTACGATGTTTCCTCTAAAAGACCAGTCATATAATTTCATTCTCGCGGTCTATTATGTAGGCATGATGAATAATGAATATACAACAGCAATTGCAAAATTCCGGTGGTTCCGTGGAAAGAACAGAAACTTATCTTGGTGGTTTCAAGAATTGCAAAAGAATGAAAGTGCAGAAGATTAAGAATGTTGCAGAAAATCGTAAAAACGTAAGTATTTTTAGTTAATCAGTCCAATGTGGATCAAAATAATTTATCTTTCCAAGTAGGAAACTTTTTTTTTGTTATTAAAGAATAAAAGTATCAGCTTAATACACATGACACACTTCTTAAGACTTCATCCTCAACAATGTGGCCATACCACGTGACTTTTCGGGTACGGAACACGCCAATTTTTCACCGATTCAGGTATGTTTTTATTCATAACTTATTTATTACTCTACCGATTTTGATGAGATAAGGCGCAGAGTACCGTAATTATATTCAGCTATCCACGCGTATATCAAAATTTCTGAAAACCCCTGAATGTTTTTGAGAACATTCGAGTACAGTTTTCTTTTCATAGCCTGTAGGCCGAGGGGAACGGTACACACTCATTTGTCATAACAAGCAATTTCTAGCAAGTCCATATGTTTTTTTGACACTATTTCATAGAAAAATACATGTTAAATCTGATATATTTACTATGGCCAATGTATCGAGTGAATGCAGTGATGTTTTAGCATATTTTCATAAAGTTATGTTGAAATGGTACGGAACACACTGTTATTTCAAAAGATACGGTACACACACAATTTCTCGTATTTTGTAATAATTCTAAAATAAAATATATATTAAATTTAATATAAATTATAATGTGAGTGATTTTTTTCATAGTTATACATATTTTATTAATTTAAACGAGAACCCAGGAACCTGTTTTGCAATGTATCATACTTACTTTTAATGTTTATATGTATTGTGCACTATATTTTCAAGAGATCACGCTTAACATTTACAACCTCATGTAATTGTCCTATTTTAAAATCACCTAGGGTATGTTTAAACACTTCGATCTAAACAGAATCAGGTAGTTGCGCTCTGTGGAAAGAAAATGTTGCTTATATAATGCTGTGTTTATTGTTGTTTTTTATTTCTTTTAGTTTATAAGTGAAGTAAGATATGTCTTTTTGCTTCATCCTGAAAAAATAAAACAAGGTCATGACCTAAATCGCTGAAAAGTATCATTACTTGATAACAATTTATATATATTTATATTTTGTTAATAATAAGCAAGTCATTAGGTACAATTTTGCAATACCATGGTCATGTTTAATTAAATTCAAATCACAGAAGGCGCTGAATTTGGTTGGGTCTCAGAATGTCAGAAAGGTGAAGGCTGTTGAGATTGTAAACCAATTTGTTTTTGTAAAGTGCCACCAATGTTGTTTCTAGTGTCATAACTGTAGTATATTGGCTATAAGGCTTATTGCAACACTGATATTAATTCATTGTTTATTTGGCTTAAACAATTAAAAAACACACAAAAAACATGAGTTGCCTTAACTTGGATTTGAACTCAGGACATATCTCTTCCTAAACGAGCGTGTAACCCCTCGGACCACGGGGAAGTTATAGGATATCAGCCTGAAGAAAACCATATCATTCTAAATTAGAGTTTGTAACACTTATTAATTTCGTTTGACACTGATGTAAATAATCATGGTGCTTAATATTACATGTATATTGGAAAGAATTACACAATATTTGAAATCTTTGACCAATCGGGAACTACTTTTTCTTCTCCCGAGAAGGCTTGAAAATTAATGCGCCCGTCATTTGACAATCTTAACACAGTGATCTCCCCTTAATTTGTCAGCGTTAGAGTACATATATAAAGGTAAGTAACCGCTTCCAGGGGTTCGGACTACTTTCTTATTTTGCAAATAAGCATATCAGAGCCTGAAATTTTCGCTACCATTATTTGTTTGGTCTGACGACCCAAACAAATAAAAATGTAGTCGCCATTGCCTAAATTTTTAATGTTTAAAGGCATGAAGCTTTAAAAAATAACTTTTAATTCATGTAATTAGGTCATTTTTGGTTTGGTGTCACGGCTCATTAAAACTGACATAATCATGTGGCGACTTTCGAGTTTTACAAGTGCCCTTTTGGGTATAAATAAAGGAACGAACGGGCACCTGAGTTAAACGACCGACATTCTGTACGGTAGTAAGAAAACTTTCTCACATAAAAAAATCGAAACATCGGAGTCACTTGCAGTCTCATACCTACTTCATGTAGTATATAAAACAGAACGCAGCCTCCAAAATCCATAGCATTTGATTGACAAAATGGGTATTATTAAAATATCGTTTTATTATGCCCCCACAGAGTGGAGCATATAGCGTTGCACTTGTCCGTCCGTCCGTACGTCTGTCCGTACGTCCCGAAATCTTGTGAACGCAACTCCTATTAAACCGGATGGCAGATTTTGCTTAAACTTACAGGGATGAACAACCTTAATGTGTATATGGTAGTAAAGGAAGGAATTTTTTTGCTGCGACCAAATTTAACAGAATTATGGCCCTTTGTTGATTTTTTCACTATATACTATGTAGAAATTTTGTGAAAGCAACTCCTCTTAAACCGGATGACAGATTTTGCTTAAACTTCCAGGGATGAACAACCTTAATGTGTAAATGGTAGTAAAGGGAGAATTTTAGCTGCGACCAAAGTTAACAGAATTATGGCCCTTTGTTGATTTTTTCACTATATACTATGTAGAAATTTTGTGAACGCTACTCCTCTTAAACCGGATGGCAGATTTTGCTTAAACTTCCAGGGATGAACAACCTTAATGTGTAGATGGTAGTAAAGGAGGAATTTTTGCTGCGACCAAATTTAATAGAATTATGGCCCTTTGTTGATTTTTTCACTATATACTATGTAGAAGTTTTGTGAACGCAAATCTCTTAAACCGGGTGGCAGATTTTGCCTAAACTTTCAGGGATGAACAACCTTAATGTTTAGATGGTAGTAAATGAAGGAATTTTTGCTGCGACCAAATTTAAGAGAATTATGGCCCTTTGTTGAGTTTTCACTATATACTATGTAGAAATTTTGTGAACGCAACTCCTCTTAAACCGGATGACAGATTTTGCTAAAACTTCCAGGGATGAACAACCTTAATGTGTAGATGGTAGTAAAGGAAGGAATTTTTGCTGCGACCAAATTTAACAGAATTATGGCCCTTTGTTGATTTTTAGATTTCAACTTGTGGCACATGTAGTCCAAAATATATTTGACCTAGTGTCATAAGATTGACAGAACAGTGGAGTGTGGGGGCATCCGTGTCCTATGGACACATTTCCAGCTTTTAACACAAACACGCAAGCACACATACCCATGAACTCAAGTGATAAATGCACCTTGAAATGAAAGTCCAAGATAGGCATAATTTTACCAAATTTCCTAACATGTATATGTATCAAGGTTACCTTGTATAAACTACGTTACGTTATATAACAGGCCTTGTTCCCATATGGGTTCTTCAAATTATCATATTAATTTTGATTGCACGTAAAACTGCGAAATATATTTGTCCATATGTGATAATTTGATAATTTAGATACATGCAGTTAGTTTGGGACGCTGGCAGATGATTCATTCCAAATATCATGTGGCCGAAAAAAACTTTAAACTTTCTGTGATTTAAAAAATCCACTTACATCAAAACCAGCGTTTTCTCTCCAAATTCAATTATTTAAACAACAGTTGACAAGGAACATATATTTCCAACTTACTCCTAACTTCTTGTTGTTTATATATTCATACTACGTTTAGACAGTCATTTATATATTCGGACAAACAAATTAAATGAAATAATTATCGCACAAACAGATGTCCATGAATTTCACAATTCGTTTTATAATCCAAAATAATATACCTAATTGTTTCAAATGAAAATCAAAACAAAACAAAATTTTGAATGTCTTCCTTATCCCTCCCTAAAATTTTAACATTTTATAGCCAAATATTAATTGCTCAACATATAAAATAGAATTTTGCGCAACGTACTCTCAAAATGTTCTTTTATTTTTTTGAATAATCCTGTTTACATCAAACTGTAGGCATAATGATAATTTGCAGAACAGGTCCCAGGGTTCTCGTTAAAATTAATAAAATGTATAACTATGAAAAAAATCACTCACATTATAATTTAAATTATTTTGTTTTATATATTTTATTTTAGAATTATTACAAAGACAGAAATTGTGTGTGTACCGTATCTTTTGAGATAACAGTGTGTTCCGTACCATTTCAACATCACTTTTATGAAAATATGCTAAAACATCACTGCATTCACTCGATACATTGGACATAGTAAATTTATTAGATTTAACATGTATTTGTCTATGAAATAGTGTCAAAAAACATATGACTTGCTAGAAATCGCCTGTTATCCCAAATGAGTGTGTACCGTTCCCCTCGGCCCAGGCTATGAAAAGAAAACTGTACTCGAATGTTCTCAAAAACCATTCAGGGGTTTTTCAGAAGTTTGATATACCGTGGATAACTGATATAATTACGGGTACTCTGCGCCTTATCTCATCAAAATCGGTTGAGTAATAAATAAGTTATGAATAAAAAAACATACCTGAATCGGGTGAAAAATCGGCGTGTTCCGTACCCGAAAAGTCACGTGGTATGGCCACATTGCTCAAAACTTTGTTTTTTTTGTGAAGAAAAATATGCTGAGTATAATTTCGTTTTATCTAAAAACTTTAAATAATGTTATTTCACTACTTTTTCTGTCATCGTTTTAATTCATAATATTTAATTACGATATAAACATTTAAAATTGAATTTCGTTTTAGAATTCTACAAAAACAATGAAAATGGATTTATATGTGGAAACAGATGGGCAGACTGTGGATGAATTCTTTTTTATCAGCGTTATGATTAAAGACTTCAATGTTTCACGCAGCAGGTACGAACGTGTGACACCGTATGGTAAATATTCCAGCTGTTCAGACAAAGACGTCGAAGCGCAGTTATGTATATGTAATGATCTCAATGAAAACGTGATGCAAACAGGACAGCTCTGAATACTCCAAGAGCGGAAATACGTGATGAAAAGTATTCTATATTCCAATTTGCAACATAACGTTACTTCAATAAATGTTGACGGTGATGCATGTCTTTACGTCATCGAACAATTTAACGAAAGCGGCATTGTGTATGACTCATTTAATGATTGCAATACGTCATTGACTTTACGTCTTTTATTTAGACAGGTGAATATAAATATCTCAACAGCCAACACGGTGGAAATAAACTTGTCTCCTGGCGATATCAAATTTCTTGCAGCCGGCGTGAGTAATAAAAAGTGGTCATGTTCTGTAATTGTAGATGTCAAAGTTTGATCAGAGATCACAAACTCAAATGGAATCTGTAATTTGTATCAGTAAATTTGTTGCTTTCTTTGCTTCTGAAGAATCGTCATTCCTTCAGATTTTATTTTCATAACATCCAATGTCAAGCTTCACAGCAGTGTTTTAATAAAAATATAATCATTCACAATCATTGATTTCAGCACATTAATTGTTGAAGATGGAATACCTCTTAAGTCGGTGCTAGGGGGCGTCAGACATGGTGTACTTTACATTTATTTATTTCTCATGAATAGACCCAATTAAACCAATTCTGCAAGTTGTATATCATTACGTAGTTTTCATTGCTTCCGAGAGAGCTCTTCTCTTTTAGCTTTTCTCAAGATTAAAACGGCATGAACAATATCTAACGTATCCATTTTATTAACAACACGTCTTTTTGGGGGGCGGGGGGGCAAAATGTAACAAAGGTACAAATGTATCAAAAACAACTGAACATTTAAATTTGTTTAAATTCTTCTTTTACTTGTCAATAAATTATTACTTACGGTGTACCGACTATTGTTGTTTACTGCAAAGTGGACTGGGTCTTATACTTATTATAGCAGACATGTTCATAGTAGTATGACTAAATGTAACGCGGCGCTAATCTCTGGAGTGCTGTCCCGTTATATCAGGTCCAAGGTAGTAACAAGTACTTATAAATATTACTGTAATCATGTTTGCTTTGTTTTCAAATATGTTTCAAAGACATTATTAAATTTTATGAAAATATTTATTACAATATTATCAATATATTATATATCATTCTTGAAAATGTAGCAATTTCCTTTATAACATATTTGGTCTATGGAATATATGATACATTTTGTAAAGATTCAGAAATGACGTTTTACCTATACAAAATAACTTTCGCTTTCAATGACTGGCATTCATGTCAATTTGTTGATGTAATGTTGAGTTAACCCAAAGCAAAACTGAAACTATTGCAAAATTTACATGCTACCTTCTTCGACGTTTCTTTCCGGAAATAATCGATGTATATGTTTTAATGAGTGTTCATCCGCCCGTTTAGGCACAAAATGTACCAGTCATGCCTTTAAGGAGTTAATTTTGAGGCACGAGTATAAGTATACTGTAATAAATGAATTTTTAGTCAAAAGTAGGTCACTGTACATCGATGATCACCTAAACGTGAACAGTGAGAAAAATGAAGGTCAGCCCTGAAAAGGGCAGTTCTTGTTTGCGAAGAGCGCTGCCGTTATAGACGTCTAGAACCGCTCAAGGGGCTTATGCACCCAAATACCCTTTCAGTCATCCCTGCCTACTATGTAGGACCACTCCCTTTGGCTTTAGTCAGTACATCGACAGCTGGTTAGTAGATTGCATTAGAAGCTTAACTCCTTCCACACCATGTGGTTGTAGTTTGGTCTCCATGACCTACTCTATGTGTACAATAACCAATCAACGTGTCCTTTGTGAAAAAATCAGCCAAGGTCAAAATCTTCTGACGATGTCGTGTTCCTTCCCAACGACGTACACGAGCGGAGGGGAAGAGAGAAGAAAAGATCGATACTACGCCCTCAGCTTATTCGTTATCAAATAGGATTTTGAATATAACGCATGATTTTTTGCGGAATTTAGCACCTAAAATTCACTTTTAAAAGATGAAAATTACCATTTTTGATCAGTGTTTTTGTAGTATATACAAATGTTTTCCGACGGACTCCTTGACATTTAAATTATTTTATCAAAAGAACTGCCGAGAAATTATCATAAGAACTCAATCCCTCATGTTACCGTGCCCCCGTGGTTATAAGACTCGAACACAAATTTCCTGGTATAAGAGACAGGACACTGGACAATTCATTTCATTTACCGTCGAACCACTCCCAACCACAAGGATAAAAAAGATAAAAAATGAAAGAATTGGCTTTGAGATTATAAAACTTTTTTTCTAGGATCATTCTCGAATCTCAGGATTTTCATTGGTCAATATCAGTTCTATACTGGTTTTTGACCAATCAAATACCTGATATCTGAGGAAGAATATACTAGGCAAATTCTTTATAACCTTGAACTCTGGTGCGTGAATATTTAAAAAAAATAAACCAGATACTTTTTTTAGTAGGACTACTTTTTGAACTGTTGATAAAACTTGTAGAATATCAGATATCCAAATGACAATACACTTTATTGAAATAATTAGTAAACTATTTATAACCAAATTTGTATAGATACGTGTTTGCTTTAGCACGATCCGTTTTGAATCAATATTTTACTTTTTACTCTGTGTAACGGGTGTAACATGATACGGAGCCGTGTTTATTATAGTTAACCCAGTTCTCTTTTGTAAAAAGCACGTACAAGTTAATTAAGGATTTTGGACAAAAATTGAAGTTAAAAGGTAACTTTCTTAAAGCATTAGCAAATATGCATAAATAATAATTTTATTGCAATATTTTTTGTTTAATTAATGATAAAAATAGTATTATCCATATATTTAAATGTCTGCCAGGTTTTGGCTTAAGTAAATGCGCGCTCCAAAATTATAGTAAATTTAGCAATTAAAACAAAAAATGAAATTACTAATTATCATTAACTTGTATTCATATTTAGGTACATAAGTTGCTAGCTTAACACGACGAGATGTTGAGTGATGTGTGTACATTTTAGAATATTTGTGCGTGCAGCACATCACGTGCAGCTGACACAGAGCAACACAGCACTGTACAGCACAACAAAGCACAATACAACGGAATTGAATTCATTAACCTAGTATACAGACTCTAGCGTATTTCCAAACTAAAGGTGAAATTCCAAGGCATGCCTAGCTTATTTTCAAATATTCTTATTAGAGACATTTTCTATTTTGTAATCATTAAAGATTTTGTTAAAGGTTATATATACGCTATATCATTCATCTTTTGCAAATCATTTTCAAATCCAGTTAAGGAGACTTGGACAACGGTGATTTCTATTAAAATTTTATTATTCCTCGTCACCGTTATTTGAAGCAAATACATAAATTATAATTATAAAATGAAAAAAAAAAAATGAAAAAAAAAAAAAAAAAACCAACACATTACACTTTCTGCTCCAGAAGCATTAGGAAAATGTCATATAACGACACATACATGTATATGACTATAAGCATGTTATATTTCGTCATTAATGTCTGAACTAGTAGTACTTTTTATTCTCTAATACGAAAGAATCGCAATATCCTCCATAGCTAGTGTCTTTTGGGATTAATAAATTTAGTTAGACAATAATATCGCATCCAGACTCGTTAATCCAGATATTGATTATCAGTATTGATCTTTTTAAAAGGCGTTAATTACTCTCTGCTGAAAAAATGTGGCAAATGTTATGCTTCAGATAACTTATTTTCCGTGTTTTTTTAAACTTCAGTAATCACAATTAAAATAGAATGAAAGGTTATAATTATATGGTAAATGCATCTGTTTTCGTGTATTAAGATCTGCAGAAGCACAAGGATGCATTTATAGCACATGCCCTCGGGCTAGAAATTCAATAAGGTATGAAAAGGTGCATTAGCGCTATTCTTACATGATCTAAATATGCACATATCATAATAACTGCGTGGTCCTCTATTAAAATGTACGTGTCTTGGTTTCCACTTGGATTAAAATTTAATTGCCCATGGGGTCACTTAATGTAGTTTATTCGTCACTTGCGCGAAATCTGTTATACAGAAAAATCCGAGGACATCTTGTAATTATTAAATGATTTCTAATAAACAGATTTTTGTTGATAAAGAAAACAATGCAAACTCAGTCTCTCGTAAATGAAATGTATTGATTTAAGATATTTTCACTTATTTGCTCAATATTGCATGTCATAGTATAGGCTTTTAATGAACCGAACATATTGAAACCAATTTTCCCAATGGACTTAACACACAATTAAACGTATCAGAATTTGCAACGGAGAATCGAAAACACGGATTTAGTTTCCACAGATAGCACATTTCATAAAACAATTAGTACAAATAAGTTGTGTGTGCTGAATACTTAAACTGCGTTTATTTTGTACTCGTGCCATATTAAATTCCTTATGCTAGAAAAGCTTTTCTGTTATTAACAGATCCACACTTCACACTCTAAAAAGGTATCAGGGAGTAATTTTGCAAATAGTTTTTTTCTTTTATAATAGGTTAACAAAGTAGGGAAGAATAAACAATGATAATGTGGATGAAGAGATGGCTTAATATTCTACTGCTCTCTGTTGTGGTAATCATACTTGCCATGCTTGTGATCACACAGCGGTTATCACCTACTATAAATAGTTACCAATCAGAGCAAAGTGGGCGGAGTGAAATTAGAAACGTGGCTATAAATAGCAACCAGTCGGAACTAAAAATGAACATTCAAAGTACTGATGCGAGTAAGAAGGAAACTCAACATGAACATATTGCAAGAAAAGATAATAGAATGACATGTACTGTCATACAACTGAAGGTATTATTTAAGTATTTGTAAGTTTATTATACGTTTTTCAGTTATTTATTGAGTAAATTTCTTATGAAGTAGACAGTTAGTGAAAGTTAAGTACGTCTTAGTACACAAGACTTTCAGTCAAGTTGTTTATTAAACAAAGCTTTAATCTAACTCATTTTATTTGGACGTTGGCTCTGTTACCTTTCCGTCCTGTTCCTGGTACTTGCCGAATAAGTACAATGATTGAAACAAGTTTACAACGACTTAATTTTTTTCCTGACAATATTCCTTCTAACTTTAGATATGGTTAACCTAATATAAATAGATATTCTATTATTATATTAGAAAATATATAGTTGTATAGATGCAATTCATAGAGATACTAATATGATCACAGCATAATTATAACAAAATGATCATATCTTTATTGTTCAGACCCGCAGCATTTACCCCCCCCCCCACCCTCCCCCCTACCCTGCTCAAACCGAAAGTTAGTAACCTTTGCAGCTTTATATTGTGGGCGTCTGACCTGGCCTTTTATTGTTAGCAAATGTTCTACTTGAGATTCCAAAAGTATATATATGAAACTGGACAAGTCAATATCAAGAAATTCGGATATAGATATGTTATTCTTAAACTTATGAAAACATATTAATTTTGTTGTTGTTGTTCTATATAACTGATACAAAAGTGTTACTTAAATTGTCAATTCTTTTCAAACAAGATGATGAAATTTTGTTTTGTTTTGTATTTGTGTGAAGAATATGGAATGTTTAATAATGTCTTTTGAACCACTGTCAATTTTACATCTAGTACCTTAACCAATTACAATTATAACATATCAAAATGTTTTGTGTTGTATCATACTTATAACAAATCACATTAAAAGAATTATTTACAAAAGAATTCTAATCTCGAACCATACTAACATGTACATTGAGATAACAATGTGTCATGTATAGTAAGTTTTCGTTATAAATACAAGTAAGTCAGTCACTATTCATCAATTACAATCAATTTGTATACCTGATAACAAAATTCTTTAAAAAATCAACTTTTGTAGAACAGACGGCGAGGTAAAATCAATGGAATGACTCAATGTAAGAAGCAACCGTTCCTATCACGTGACTGTCACTTTAATCTCTATAATCCATACGCAATTGATATAGAGGGGGCATGCAGGAAGTCCGGGGCAAAAGAGTTTTGCAGCATCACTGTAAGTTCTTACTTTCTTATTGACTATATAACACTTCCGACGCCGAGTGTTGAAAGACGTCGGCTTTATGTGCAATGCTCCTCCCCGCTGTCCGAATCATTCAAAGAATTTTGGTTTCTATCATGTGAGAAAGTTATAATAGAACGTTTGTAGTTCTAGCTGGTGGGGCACATGAGGTTTTCCTCCGCCTGTCAAGCTGGAAAGTTGCCATATGGTCATTACAATGTTTATGCCATGTACCAGCTCCCCACAAACAGTATTGGTTTTCTTAATCGAAATGTCAGCAATTCTTTTGGGACAGTCCTGGCTGATACTTAACTTATGAATACTTGATAGATGACCTTCTAGACCTTAGATGATTTAAACTATTGAACCCTTTACACGTTACATTTTAAATGGACTTGGCCATCTTTCAATCTTAACAAATCTACCTGTATCCATTCTTTATAGAAACTGGGAAACTTTTAAAATGTGTACTGACAGTGGTCACCAGCAGACTAATGGATACACAAACATATTTGTATTTATCACGTGTTAATAGGTAAGACATTTGATGCTAGGCCAAAGATCACAGTTCTGCCCACAGTTTTAATACCCTGAATCGATTACTACTTTCCATTCCTTCGGGATGAAATGAAGTCGGTTATCCGTTCTTTTCTTGTGAATAATAGTAAATAATTTTAACTTTTAATACCATCCAATGATTAATAAGTGTTGTATTTCAGGGCACTCCTGATCAGTGGGGTGTGCACTGTAACATTACATCATGTGGTAAGAAGGTGTACCTTGGGACAAAAACAATTGACAGAATTAATTGGAAAGTGTATGGAAACAAAGAAGATCTTCAAAAATCAATTGCAAATCTAATTCAAAGTAGTACAACACGATTCTGTTTTATTTCATGTTTTACGCTCCATAGTCATGGTTTTGAACCACAGATATTAAACATACCACCCCCGCCGCAAAGGACTCACCTTAAAACCAAACGCAAAAGTCGCAGAGAACAAAAACATATGAATTTGAATTTTATAATGATAGATTCTGTTTCAAGGGTCCACTTCTTCAGATCTTTACCTAGGTCTGTAAAGGCTTTAAACCAGATTACAACTGAGCATGAAGATGCAATGGTTCTAGATTTTGAGTTAGTCCAAGGAATTCGTTCGAGAACGTTCGAAACTTTGCAAGCTCTCTTCTCCGGCTATGTAAACCCGTATGAAGTTCCGTTTGGAATAAATGATTTGTCGAAAGAAAAGCTGAATGTAGCGAAATGGTTTTTGCCATTGAGGGAGCTCGATTTTTCAAGTCTTTGGCTGGAAGACATGTGTCCATTCACAGGATGGGGATTGACAAGAAATTTGCTAGTTGTAAATAGAACTTTAGATAAGCAATCTTTTTATATGAAATTTTTAGATACTTGTAGAAAAGTTGGAATTGATGATATTGGGAACACGTTAGCTAGCTGTAACATTCTTAAATCTAAAGGGATGAGTAACCCATTTAATTCAGAGACAATATGTTATAACGGGAGACATCACCATTCATATTTGTTTTCATATCTAAAGATGTTCCAAAGGACCATGCACCATAGGGCCAAACCTTTCATATCATACATGGAATCAAATATAGCTCATGAACTTGGCGGCAAAAGAAATCAATACATTGATAGTGATTTAGCGGAGTATTTGCAGTTTTCAAGTGGCATGGACAACACATTAACTATAGTGTTCTCCGATCATGGCAATGCATACCGAGATAGCCAAGGTAGAAATTCCAACAGTGTATTAGAAGTATTCAATCCCTTTCTATTCATGATTATACCAAAATCAGTTCAGTCTATGCTTACTGCCAATCAAATGCAAGCTTTGAAGATCAACCAGAATCGATTGATAAGTTTATTAGACCTCCATTATACTATTTCATACATCATTCGACTATTGCATAATGAAAACGATTCTGAAGCGAGCTTGGACAATGATGTCAATGACTTTAACAAACAATTCAATGTATCTAAAGAGGGGCTACTCACAGAAATATCAGCTTCAAGAACTTGCAGCATCATGCCAAGAATAATGCCGAACCTTTGCATCTGTAAAGGGTACGATGTTTCCTCTAAAGACCAGTCATATGATTTCATTATCGCGGTCTATTCTGTAGGCATGATGAATAATGATATACAACAGCAGATGAAAAAATCCGGTGGTTCTGTGGATAGAACAGAAACTTATCTTGGTGGTTTCAAGAATTGCAAAAGAATGAAAGTGCAGAAGATTAAAAATGTTGCAGAAAATCGTGAAAATGTAAGTTATTTTAGCAAAACAATCCAATGTGGATCAAAATAATTTATCTTTCAAAGTAGGAAGCTTTATGAATGTTTGTTATTAAAGTATCAGCTTATACACATGGCGCACTTCTTAAAACTTCATCCTCAAAATTTGAAATCATTTTTTTTTGTATTTTGTTGTTTTTGGAAGAAAGATATGCTGCGGATAATTTACAATAGGAGACATTGTAAAACGTAAGTCCATAGTACAGTTCCGTCAATGTCATATAACTGTAATTTGTACTATTTTAGGTCAATAATACAACTGTTTTAATTTGTTATAGTGAATTAAAAGTCAATTATATGTCATGTTAATTTAAACAGAACATAATTAAGGCTTTATAATTTCATACGTACAACATTCTCATACGTACAACATTGAAAAATATCAGATACAAGATTGACAAAGATAGAAATGCTTGAAATATTAAATATATTATTTTGAAGACTCATATGGTGATACTATGTAAGAAATAATATCGGGCTCAGTGGTGTCTATCAGCTATTTAACACCGGCATGGAGTTGGTAGGAATTGACCACGAGCCATGTCATTGCAAATAATAAGTTAATGGATATTATCAATACAAATAATGTATTTTCATAGCCATTATCTTGTTATGACTAACAATAATGGAGCTTCTTTCAAGGCCATGTTATTGTTATCTTTAAGACTGCCGAAGTTTGTGGCAATTTTTTTCTTTTGTTTTTGTATTTAAATTATAGATATAGTTTTCTAAAAATGATAAAATGTGTCATTAAGTTAAAACGTCGCTACTAATTCATCGTTTTAATGGATATGTAATTACCAAATGAACCTTTAAAATTAAATTTCGTTTTAGAACTCTACGACAGAAACGAACATGGATTTATATGTGCAAACAGATGGACAGGCTGTGGATGAAATCTTTTTTATAAGCGTTATAATTAAAGACTTAAATATTTCACGCAGCAAGTACGAACGTGTGACCCCGTATGATAAATATTCCAGCTGTTCAGACAAAGACGTCGAAGCGCAGTTATGTATATGTAATGATCCCAATGAACGGGATGCAAACAGGACATCTCTGAATACTCCAAGAGCGGAATACGTGATGAAAAGTATTCTATATTCCGATTTGCAGCATAACGTTACTTCAATAAATGTTGGCGGTGACGCATGTCTTAACGTCATTGAACAATTTAACGAAAACGGTATAGTGTATGACGCATTTAATGATTGCAATACGTCATTGACTTTACGTCTTTTATTCAGACAGGTGAATATAAATATCTTAACAGCCAACACGGTGGAAGTGAACTTGTCTTCCGGCGATATCAAATTTCTTGCAGCCGGCATGAGTAATAAAAAGTGGTCATGTTCTGTAAATGTAGATGTCAAAGTTTGATCAGAAATCGCAGACTCAAATCGAGTCTGTAATTTGTATCAGTAAATCTGGTGCTTTCATTGCTTCTGAAAAATCGTCTTTCCTTCAGATTTTATATTTATAACATCCGATGTCAAGCTTCACAGCAGTGTTTTTTTTTTTAAAAATCCTTCACAATCATTGATTCCAGCACATTGAGTGTTGAAGATGGAATACCTCTTAAGTCGGTGCTAGGGGCGTCAGACATGGTGTACTTTTAGATATATTTATTTCTCATGAATAGACCCAATTAAACCAATTCTCTAAGTAGTTTATCATTACGTTGTTTTCATTGCGACCGAGAAAGCTCCTCTCTTTCAGGTTCAAATGTATCTAAAAGACTTCAGTTGATATATTTCGTCATAAAAACAACTGAAAATGTTAATTTGTTTAAATACTTCTTTTACTTGTCAATAAATTATTACTTACGGTGTACCGACTATAGTTGTTTACTGCAAAGTGGACTGGGTCTTATACTTATTATAGCAGACATGTTTATAGTAGTATGACTAAATATAACACGGCGCTAATCTCTGGAGTGCTGTCCCGCTATATCAGGTCCAAGGTAGTAACGAGTACTTATAAATATTACTGTAATTATGTTTGTTTTGTTTTCAAATATGTTTCAAAGACATTATTTATGAAAATATTTATTACAATATTATCAATATATTATATATCATTCTTGAAAATGTAGCAATTTCCTTTATAACATATTTGGTCTATGGAATATATGATACATTTTGTAAAGATTCAGGAATGACGTTCTACCTATACAAACATAACTTTCGCTTTCAATGACTGGCATCAATGCCAGTTTGTTGATGTAATGTTGAGTCTATGGCAAATGTTTTGAGTAAATCCAAAGCAAACATTAAACTATTGCAAAATTTACATGCTGCTATACCTTCTTCGACGTTCTATCCGGAAATGATCGATGTATATGTTTTAATGAGTGTTCATCTGCCCGGCACAAAATGCACCAGTAATGCCTTTAAGGAGTTAATTTTGAGGCACAACATGTTGATAATTAGCCACCTTGCACTAATCACAATGTACGAGTATAAAATATACTCGTAATACTGTAATAAATGCAATTCGAGTCGAAAGTAGGTCACTGTACATCGATGAGCACCTAAACGAAAAGTACTAGTATTCAGTGGGAAAAATGAAGGTCAGCCCTGAAAATGGCAGTTCTTGCTTGGAAAGGGCGCTGCCGTTTAAGATGTCTAGAACCGCACAAGAGGCTTATGCACGCAAATACCATTTCAGTCATCCCTGCCTACTATGTAGGACCACTCCCTTTGGCTTTAGTCAGGACGTCGAAAGCTGGTTAGTAGATTGCATTAGAAGCTTAAGCCCTTCCACACCATGTGGTTATAGTTTGGTCTCCAGGACCTACTCTATGTGTACAATAACCAATCAACGTGTCCTTTGTGAAAATTCGGCCAAGGTCAGCCTTACACTGCAAGACCAATTCTAAATTCCTTGTTTTGTTGCAAATCATTTTTATTTACATTTTACTCAAATGGGAAGACGGTGATTTCTTATCTCCGTAAACAAACAAGTAGAGATTTTGATGCTAAAGCATCAAGTCGCCGGATAGAAAAAATGATTGTAAAATCATAAATATAAGAAAATATAAGTTTAATGGTTCAAGTATAAAAATAAGATGAACAATGAGTTGAGTAATGTTTGCAACAGAGGCTTGTAAGGCAAGTGCTTTGCTGGAGATTCTTCTTGTAATTGTACTTTATACATATACTGTTGTACCATACATTGAAATCCGTATAGGTTACTAGTTCAGATTCAGATAATTACCGACAAATAATATCATCGAATAATTGCAAAGTGACTATGAAAATATATATATTTAATTATTTCATGAAACGATACAATTTTACTGTAAAAGTGTAACATCATTATTATGTGCTATAGAAAAATATATAATTTAGATTAAATCAATACATGTATTCCCATTGTTACATACGATATATAAAATTAGCGTTTAATTACCTATAGTGCGATAAACTATCAACACAAAGATAGTGTTATTATTTTTTTCTATGTATCTAATACGATTCTGAGCCCCTAACGTCATACCGTTTTGGAAACCTGCGTGACGGAAACCGACGGAATATACCGAAATCAACGATTACCATTATATATATTTCAATAATATGCCTCTTAAACATAAAATTATTTTGGGATGTTCAACCTTAACTAATCTATTGAACTTACTTGTCGAAAGTTTGACAGAAAGGGCCAAGTTTAACCCTTTACCAAGAAGAAAAGAAAATGTTTTGAAAATTTATTTTTAATGAGTAAAATATGAGTAAACAGGTTTTTCTAATGATATAAAGTATGAAACTGATTAATGAAAAATAACTTATGCAATTATCTGTACAAAATTACAATGATTTGCATCTTATAACATGCCAACCATTAACAAGTTACCTGCATGTCTTATCAGCAATCTGTTACTATTAATAGATTTTGTAACGATATACAACATAATTATATAAACATGTAGTCACGTGATTCTTACGAAAAAGACCAGGGAGAATTCGTTTATAATTAGATAAAATAATGTAATTTAAATAGGTCTCATAAGATATAAACAACCATATAATTTCAAGTGTCTTTTCAAATGTCATTCATGATTTATATATTATAAAATAGCAATGCTTGACACATAGAAAAAAGTATAAGTATCCCTAATATTCAATGACTGATCCTTGGGGATACGTATGAAAATTGTAATGATGCTTTTTAAGATGTCAATATGTGCATATTTCATTTCACTGAACAAAGTTATCATATGTTTTAATTTTTGACATTACTGAAAAATAATTGTTGTCTTTAATTGTTCAATGATTGATATGCTTTTATTTTCAGATTTTAAGGGCTTCTCTTACCATAGGTATAATATCAAACTGTTACAAATATAGTCGCCGGTTTCTACCAGCGACTAATAACAGACTGTGCAACTGTCTTTAGTTTACCGAGACATTATATCGCGGAACTCGGCAAAAATTAAATAATGCGTTAACTCGGTTAGTCTATAAATAGCAAAAATAAGTGCGCCGGTGTCCACCTAAACGGGGAACTGTTCCACATGGGACAAAACTCATTGGTGTTGCATTGGATTCTTATTTCAATTTTAACTTTAGTAGCCGCTTTTTATATAGATAAGCGAGGTTTAGCGTGTATGTTCATTTTTATTTTTGGTAGATTTGATAACGGATCACTATCTTAATGCTAAAACTTGATTTATATTTTTGGTTATTTGCTCAATAAAAGTTTATAAAAGCCGGTGCTATGGGGCGTGAGGGATGTTGCACTTTTTCATTTCCCCTCATGTACAGACTCAAGCAAACCGAGTTTTCAATTTTCATGTAATTTTGTTGTGATAAATGCTTCCGAGGGATCACTTTGTATCCATATTTTTTATCTATTGTTTAATTTGGATAAAATCAATTAATAATACGCAAGGATTTAGGACAAATCATTACGAGCGTGTCACTCCTGACATATATATTAATAAGATACATGGTGTTGGATTCCTGGCACAATACGACATTGACTAAAGAGTACCTATCATGTCACCGTATAACACGAGTACTACTATAGTACGACGTAATGATATTTTCGTGTCGTAATGCTTTCCCTTTAATTTTAACACTTGCGCAGATCTAAACAGACATTAGTCTAAATAGTATTTTAGCGTATGCAATACACAGGGGACCATTCCTCCTGTGCCTAAAACCACGCCTGTTATATAGGTGCTAAACATAACTTATATAATTTGAACCAACAATGTACCCGTTTTAAAATCTGTTGTTTTTTTTGAAGGTGTAAAGAGACAGAGAGTTCAATATTTAGAGATTGTTACTGTATATTATACATCTGACTAGATGTCTCGGTTACAACTGTGACTTTATCGCCTGATACCGGTGAAAATGAGTACATATATAAAGTGTGACTACTTTGTGACTACTTTAATGACGTCCGCTCTTAGGGGTACAAGTTTATACACCCAACTTCATTACAAGACAGATTCTCCTTTTTATTTTTGTCGTTATTCATACCAGATCGACATGCCTGATTTCATCGCAACCAACACTTCAGTAGATATGTTCACTTTGAGATCTTAAACTTTTGTCTTGGTTTGGATCAGTTACAGATTAGATAGATGATAATAATTTTGATTGTTTTGAGTGAATATGCTTTATATAACACTGAGAAATGAGAAAACTGCTATACATGTATGCGCACAAGCACGAAGAGCGAGTGAAAATGTGATATTACTTTTCATTTTGCATTGTGTTTTCATATTTACGGGGGGGAAACACATTGTTTTTTTATTTTATGGCCAATTAAAGAAAACACAAAACTATTCTGGACTGTTTTATTGAGAAGCGGAAAGTGGTTAACGCACATAAAGATGATGTAACCCGCTCAATGGCTTACGAACGATGTGCAAAAAAACGGAAACCAATATTTGAAGCATAAATAAGGCATAAGTATTTAAGTTATAATATTTTAATTAAGAAATCTGATTTAAGAACAAAAGTCAAAAATTGAAGTTTATATGCATTTACAAATTTACGAAATTATACAATAAATGAATAAGTAAGTAAATAAATAAATAAATAAATAAATAAATAAATAAATAAATGAATACATAAATAAGTAAATAAAATAAGTAAGTAAGTAAGTTAGTAAAGTAAGTAAGTAAGTGAGTGAGTGAGTGAGTGAGTGAGTGAGTGAGTGAGTGAGTGAGTGAGTGAGTGAGTGAGTGAGTGAGTGAAGTAAGTAAGTAAATAAGTAATGTACACCATTAGAACTTATAAATTTAGATCAATGTTGGATACATTGCCAGAAACGTTTGATTATTTTACCTATTATTTGCACTGAAATGTACTTATATTGGATTAGTTCTTTGAAATTGTACTGTTTTCTTAATGCTGATAAATTATATTACAATCAAGGGTAATACAAGCTCTTAAGCTAGTTTCAAATATTATTACACACTTCACTGGGTCACAATTGATAAAAAATCTAGTATAGATTACATATTTAATTTGTAAAGACCCATTCTTTGCGGAAACCAATTTACTTCCTAGTTAGTTTTACATATTTCTACACTTCAAAGATTTCAGAGAAGAGAAAAGTAAGTTTTCTGAAAATTACTTTTTTAATTTCAAAGTTTAGTTAATATAATAGTTTGTACAGTTTAAACTTAAACATAATAATCATGATTATAATAATTTGTATTTTCAGTATAGTGTAGCAGTGTGTTGCCTTAGAAGTAAACAATCTTATACACTGTACCTTTATCTTCGTCTATTTCTATCTTGGCAACATATGCCCAAAAAACGAATTATAACTGATTTAAACATAACCATTTTATTAGAATCACACAGTACTATTTTCTGCAATTATGGGACTAGAAATGTCGTTTTATTATTTGAAGTTGGTCTATATGATTAATTGAATATGTGCAGAATTTAGACCGTTCGCTCACCCCGTTTTTCAAAAGCAACCATTTTAATTGTGCAAATCTACTACAAAATAAAAGCGTTTAATATAATGAACGGTTTTAACTCAACTGGGGATTAGGAACGCAATAAATATCGATTTTCTTTTCTTTCTTTTTTTGAGTGATTTTCTTATAATTACATTTTTGTAATATCTTTTCATTCAAAGTGACCCAGTTGTTCGGTGTTATATTCTAAAATTACATCTTAGTTGAGTGGAGCTCCTTTAAAAAATAGCGGACGATTTAGATATTGCATGTAGGTTACCCGTTATAACTTTTGTTTGTTTGTTTTACTATATCTTATCTCAGGGTAAATCACAAAGCTTAATCTTTGACTTGTACCTTACAATTTAAAAATGCATTAGCGCAGATGAATCTGTAGTACATGTACATCCTTAAGTGTTTAAATGTGACAACAAATTAAAGGACAACAGAAAATATCATTGTTCGGCCATATTATAAATATGCTGTATGTGTCAACAGGTTCTAATCTGAAATCAAAAGCGGAAGTAAATTCGATTGGAAATACCGAACGAAGCATTCTGTGCAAGTCTTGTTCTTTTTACAAGATCACAGTAACCCGGATGTCATGGTAAGCGCATTTTGATCTTTTAACAAGCTTACCAGTAATTTGTGAATTTTAATTGTACAAATTATATTTATTATGATGTTTACTATTAATTTTACTTCAATACATTCGTCTGATTTTTTGTGATGTTTAGATATCCGATCGCGTTATGGTTGTTTTTTTTTTAGCTTTTGTAGTAAAAAGTATAATCTGTTATAACTGTATTTCTGTCGTTAAAATTAAAGTGATCAAACATGGCCACGAAAATAGTTTCTTTTATCACGTAAATCTAGATGATTAGTGATTACATGATTCAAAATGGCAGAGAGGATATTTATCACAATCAAAACAAGTCGTATCAAAACACTAAATAAATAATAGATGATAAAAACGAATGTGTAAGTTAATCTTAACTGCTTATTGTAGCGACACAAACACGGGGGAGGAAGTGTTACACGAAGGATGGAGTTCTTATGATAACTGTCACGGAGTTCCTGGAAAACGTTACGGATTTCTGTGGAAAACTTTTCTATATACTTTGAGAACTCACTTAAAAAATGGTTATTTTTAACTTTAAATGGGGAGTTTGAGGTGCTTAATTAAACTTTGATAATTAAGCTTGCCCTACATATTGTATTATGTTTCAGAAACAATCTTTTAGTCCATATTTCGCCGCCGTTTAAAAAAAATCTGGTAGTTTTGAGAAAAATTACCAAATTACTTGCTAATTCGTACATATTGACCTTTTCATTTTTGATCTTCTTCGTTGCTAAACTTAATTACCTAATTATTATGGAGAGTTGCAAACATAAAGCCCAGGCTAATAAATTTATACCCGGTTTTTCAAATGTTACGGAGTTCTTGCGATAACTCAAAATATGTCCTGGAGTTCTTATGATAACTTTTGTTACTGCCAGTGTGTTTTTGTGTTTAATCACGGCACGTTTAAGCGTATTTTATTAGTCAATAAGTGTGTAAATCATTATGAAGCATAGTACGCTTATCATTTGCACAAAAATTTGGTTATATAACGTTGGTTTTGATCGTGTTTTTCAGTTCAAGAGATATTTTTCTTACCTCCGTTTTTTGTGTTTTTTGTGTTTGTTTTGGTCTTTTTTGTGTGTGTGTGTGTGTGTGTGTGTGTGTGTGTGTGTGTGTGTGTGTGTTTTATTTTATTGGAATGACTGTAAACATACTTGATGTAGAGCATTTACTTACAGGATAAAAATACGCTTTGAATTTAATACTCAAGCATGATTTCGTCATATATACATTATTCCTGGCAGTTTTAGAGAACATTAAGTAACTATGCAATCGGTATGCATGTGCAAAATAGGAGGTAGTATGTACTACCTTTTTTCTAAATTTAATGAGGTGGGTGTCGTCTTTATGTATTCAACGGGTATTTCAATTTCTAAAAGGTATCAGTTTTTGTCATAGAAACGTATAAAGTTCTATGACAATGATATGACGATAGAAAGTAAGTCTTCAATAAGACATGTGAGTCACCGTAAGGTTCATGCCGTTTATCAACATTGTTCCTTTCTCTATTAAATCCAATGTAGCCTCACGTGACATACAGCAATTTCCATATTTCGGAAAATAACTGCATACATTTTTCTTATCAAAGTTGGAGTCCTAGTGGAAATTTTGCAACAACTTTTGCTGTAATTGATTACAAAAATATATTGTCGAACTTCTTTCGCTCGAACCAGTTGGGCACGTGCAAATCTGTCGAAGAAATCGGTAGTAACCGGTTGATTTTTTATGCATAAAAAGATCATACATTTCGGGTGCATGGGTGTGAAGGATATCCCGGTTATATACGATACATGGTATCTAATGATACAATTTACTTAGCCGCTTCTTGAGAGAAGCCCAACTACTTATTGTCTGCTTTAGAAAGACGGTTACTTAAAACATGTAACTGAGAAAAAAGTGTAAGTTTTAAACAATTTTTCCTTTGCGGTTTAAGCCATGTTACTGCTGAATACAGGTGACCGCTGATTCAGGTTTTCCTGAAGATTTTTGTTTGTTTGTTTGTTTCATTTTACGCCTTTTCCCAACAGTATTTCTGTCATATGGGCGGGTAGTTTCCTAACCATCGTTCCTGGAGAGTTACACCAGTACTAGACTACCTTCCTCCGTGCTAAACTACCAAAGCATCTCCCGGGATCGAACCCACGCCAGAGAGGTAACTGGATTAGAAGTCATCGACTCAAACCCCTCGACCACGGAGGCGGTCGTTCCTGAAGATAGCTTAGCACATGTTTATCCTATGTAGACTGTACACCAAAGCAGTTTCATGTCTTCTCCAGATATATTGAATGATCATGTTTTAATTTTGCCACATGGCCTCAATGTTGCATTTGCGGAAACTTATGACATAAAACTTTTGTTGACGGACAGTATACACAGAAACATTTAGTGCATTCGTTGGGTTTTATAATGTCAATATGATTTCGCACAAATTTAATTAGGATCAAAACCATCGTTATATAACCAAATTTTTGTGCAAATGATAACCCAGCAGGCACACGACGTCAGTTCAACGTTGAAACAACGTTGAAATATGGTCGTGACAATGTTCAACCAATATTCAACTATGGACGATCATACGGATACATAGCCAATGTATATACAACGTTGATTCAACGTCGTTTATGGTCGAAGTTTTAAATTTAGTTTGATCATTTATTTATATAAACTTTTATACCATTAATTTTGTGTTATTATTCCTTTATTGAATTAGTCTGTAAGTGATTTTTGTCAGGAAAATTTGCGTTATACAATCTTTTTCCGTATATTCAAAATTAGCGCTGAAACAAATAAAGTTGAAAATATTTTTTCACTTTCTATTAACGCTTTAAATATAAGTTAATATGTTTTGTTTTTTGTTGTTTTATTTTTTCGTTCTTTATGAATAATATTAATTAATAAATTGATTTTAGTCAAAACCCGTTTATAAAATAACGCTGGTCAGGGGAAGTAATTGTTGCGGTCTATGATTTTGTTTGTTGTCTATGATTATCGTTCGTTCAATGGTGGCGCTGTTTGGAAAATTTGAAAACAACACGATTGGCAATTTATTTGGATTTCGAAGGTATTACCGCAATGTTTTACATTAGTTTACTGATTATTTTGTAAAATATTATTATTTATTCTTAAAATTCTACTTTAATTTACTTTATGAAATAAACGAGAGATGAAAACACATTGATATGAGTTGATTTGACACGTTTTCGCGACCTAATTTCGGTAGGCCTTGTAAGCAAGAAGTTATTAATTGATGTCCTTGGCAATTTATGATTTTCAAATCTTGTCTTTCTTTAATTTTTTTTTCATATTATTAAACAATTGTCTGTACTATATCCTAATTTGAATTTAATCAATTGTAAAATTGAAACCTATAAAGTAGTTCGGCCCACATAATTTACGTCCCTAGACGATTCGTCAATATATATAACTATGTTTATATTTCAGTGAAAGTATAATACAGTGTTAATTAGTTTGAAAGAAAAACATTATTATTAAGTTAAATAAGAAATTTGAGTGTTAAACTTTAAAGTTTAACAGTTTAATAGTCGTAAAATTATGGAGAATAATAAATCTATTTCTATTTTATTCTATATCATTTTATATTCTAGATCCTGGACTTGGTTGAAAGTTAGAGTATTGCAGCTGTAGCCTGTATACCATACATTCAACATGGAAAGGACTGTCAGGTTTGTTAAATTGAAATTTATTCTTGTTAATTTATATATTTGAATTTCTATAAAATACAAAGTATAAATATTTCAACTAGATTCTACTGGATATTTGTTTTGTCTTAAAAAATATTATTTCACAATATTCGTGTAACATTATTTATATAAAATTTACATGTTTGTTGATTTCAGGATGCTGCATAAAATGGTCTTAGCTAGAGCCTAGCAGTAAGAGACAGCCAAAGAAGTACGCAAACACTTGACATACCCAGAAAGATCTAGAATAAAAGATTGGAACATATTGTAGTTTAATTTTAAAACTATTAAAGTGAATTTAAGCTGCACTGGAACTGTATTTTTGAAATAAAATATCTGAAGTATTAAATATTGTCTTGATATTTTGTTAAACTTGGTTACTTTGCTTTATATCCAAAAATTATAGTATGGTGGGTTTTCAACGTTGAAATGACATTGAAACTTCAACGTTGTGACAACGTTGAAGCTGCAACGTTGTATCAACGTTGAATTTCAACGTTGTTTCAACTTTCAAATCCGAATATAAATCCAACCTTATTTCAACGTTGAAATCTGACCATAATTCAACGTTGAAACAACGTTGATGTGCCTGCTGGGAAGCGAACTATGCTTCATAATGATTTACACACTTATTGACTAATAAAATACGCTTAAACGTGTCGTAATTAAGCACAAGAAACACACTGGCAGTAACAAAAGTTATCATAAGAACTCCAGGACATATTTTGAGTTATCACAAGAACTCCGTAACATTTGAAAAATCGGGTATACATGTATTAGCCCGGGCTTTATGTTTGCAACTCTCCACTATAATTATGTGATTATGTATAGCAACGAAGAAGATCACAAATGAAAAGGTCAATTTGTACAAATTAGCAAGTAATTTGAAAATTTTTCTCAAAACTACCAGATTTTTTTTAAACGGCGGCGAAATATGGACTTAAAGATTTTTTCTGAAACATTATACAATATGTAGGGCAAGCTTAATTATCAAAGTTTAATTTAGCACCTCAAACTCCCCATTTAAAGTTAAAAATAACCATTTTTACGTGAGTTCTCCAAGTATATAGAAAAGTTTTCCACAGAAATCCGTAAACGTTTTCCAGGAACTCCGTGACAGTTATCATAAGAACTCCAAACAAGTTATCATAAGAACTCCATCCTTCGTGTAACACTTCCTCCCCCGTGACAAATACATTTATAACAAAGCATTGTCCTCCCTATCAACCTACTCTTACATATACGACCTATTTTTCGAAGAACGAATATTTTCTCTCAAGTTCCGATGGTCCTCTTACCGGGATTCGATACCATCCCGTGTTAAACAACGACTACACGATAGCACTGTATCATGACCAATCTAAACACATGAAAACAGTAGTTAACAAATAAAAGAGCGCGATCACGAAATATCGAAACGATAATAAAATCGTGATGTTTATTGTTACAATTTTAAATTCTTATATCAGTTTTAAAGGCACATTTTTGTGCTAATCTGCAACAAAAATTAACTAATTTAATGTACCAATAAAGTGCAATGTTTTATGCAGATTTCCGCATGTGACTTTTATTCACAAATGGGCATTGTATTTAATGACTTGACTGTATTGTTAAAGGATTGTTTTAATATCTTCAAAACTATTTGTTTGACTTCGAGTATAGAAGATCTGGTAAAATATTCCTTAATAAACTTCTCAATCAAAGAAGGAAGTATATAAATTCCTTATATCGATTTTGCCATGTATCCATTGAATATTTCAAACTATTTACCGAATTTTACCTCGTTGACACTAAATTTTGCAACGGGTCTGTTGATCTTTGCGCTTATACCGAACACTTTTGAAATCCATTGACATTTTACAATGAATCCGTTAAATTTGAACATTTGCTAAATTTTGCAAAATCACATCTTGTATCTGCATAACTTAAATCAGCCATGTATCCACTGACCTTCTGTTAGATAATCTTTAAGTTAAGTGTTCTTTATTTTAAAAGTTTTCTCAACTATCCCTTGTGAACAAATCGCTAAATTTTTAAAGTATCAAAATGATTTTTGCAGGCTGGAAGTTCATTATTAGTGGCAGCAATAGATTTTGGAACGACCTATTCAGGCTGGGCGTTTTCTTTTAAGCATGAATTTGAAAGAGATGCCACCAAAGTATCAGCAAAAAACTGGACAGGTGGACAACTTGTTTCCCTAAAAGGTAAGGTTTGTCATTTCTACAATATAATTTTCAAAGAATTTAATCATAAGACATATTGTAAATTTTACATCATTTTCTAGAAAAAAATAAAAAGAAATGAAATTTTCAATGATACGATTACAGAATCATACAATGTAGACGTAGGTTTTCTGATGCATGCAAAACAACCTCATGATCACCAGAGTAATTAATTTGTATAATATAAGAGAACATGTCTTTCAAACAAAACTAGAAATATAACCGCAGATCGAAATATTTCAGGACCAACATGTGCCTTAATAGAACCTGACGGTGAAACACTTCACAGTTTTGGATATGAAGCTGAAAGTAAATATGCTGACCTCGCGTGTGATAGCGAGCATGGCGGGTGGTATTTTTTCAAGAGATTTAAAATGAATCTTTTTGGACAGGTAATAAACTTTCATATCAAAAGTTGGCGTACATCCTTTTATATATATTTATTCTCGCATAAACCTTGTTGATAGTAGTTTATTATAAATTGTAGAATAAGCATGCAGAAAGTATTGTAAATTCTAAATCAAAGGTAGTCGTTTTAAGACAATATCATCTGATTGGAGGTTGGCTTATAGGTTCATGCAATGTTTCCTTACAGTATAACCTTTACGTCGTTGGTGCGATGTAAACGCCATCCCTCTTTTAAATAAAGAAAGAAAACAGTCTGTACAAGGGTATTTTCAATTTCGTAGATCCGACACTTTAATCACACCCGTAGATCCGGCTAAGAATTCACATTCAGTAAATGAACATACAAAGGCACGACTCTTAAATCATATGCGTATGACACAGTGCAACATTATTTGACCTATTTTCGTATCAGGGATTTGGAAGAAATCTTATGTTAGAAGATGCAAGCGGAAGGAAGAAGTTGTTAGCCAAAACAGTATTTTCTCTGTCGATTAAATATCTAAAAGACGACCTCATCAAGTTGTCAGAATCCCGCATCGCTGGTGGGGGTCTTCAAGATACGGACATTCACTGGGTCCTCACAGTACCTGCTATCTGGAATGATGCTGCCAAACAATTCATGAGAGAAGCTGCTCAACAGGTAAGGCATAACTTTGATAATTATGTCGCACTTGCACTATGAGTTGAAATCAATCACCGAACACTTAAAATTTGTCCCTATGTCAATTGAACTTATGTGTTTGCATTAATTATTACAAGTGATACTGATTCATGCACATTTAATCATCTTAACGTTTTAATAACATTCATATTAATGCTAATTTGAATTAAATTCAATACATGTATATTATTTAGACGGTTATTGATTCAGTGAATGGATAATACCCAAACCTTTTCAAGTTCACAGGCACAATTACATATTAAAGCATATTTGTTTAACAGAAGTTATACAAAGTTTAATAAAGTGGGTGTATGAAGGCATAAGTTATTGAAACCAAAATTGATTAGTTCATAAAAGATTCTTACACCCTTAACAAAACTGTTCATTATATTTGTACACACTATTTGATAGCACAATGCTAAATATGTCATCATTTAAGAAACGTAATTTTGTGAGATTTTAATTATTTACATGTAGTTTTTAGCTGTATCATGCGATACTATAACAACGAATGCATTATCTAAAATATCTGTTCAACATTAACCCACTGTTTCATGTTGGCAAAATAAATTTCCATGCTGTCATAATATCTATCTTTTTAAGTTTCATTTTACTTATTAATTTTATCCAAAGGCTGGTATATCCGGAGACATGCTTACTATTGCATTGGAACCAGAAGCTGCAAGTCTGTACTGCCGCCATCTACCGGTAGAAAAATGTGGAAGTGGTAAAACCTCGTTGGCGGCATTCGGACCTGGTAAACGGTATCTGGTTCTTGATGCTGGAGGTATCCTTATAATATTTTTTTCTTTCTTATACGGTACTTCCTAACGTTTCCCTTTTGTAAGATGTATAAATCTTAATCGTGAACTACTAATGCATAAAACGTGAATATTACTATTTCTATGTATGTACAAAAACAGCATAAATTAACCAAAAAGTAGGAAACGATCAAAGCTGAATCCTACGAAGCATATATTGTGAAAGCTACAATTTAAAACTAATGCCAATATCCGATGAATCGTCTAATGATCAAATATTGTAGAGAATGATTGAATCTTTGTGCACCATATAAATGCTATTGACACTAGAATAACACATTTCAGGGACTTTCTCTCAAATGTTAAGCACAGTTAAGGTTTTGTTTGGAATGATCATTTTCATAACGCTTTTTAAAACACAATTACCATATTTTTAGGGGGCGTCCGTGGCCGAGTGGTTAAGGTCGTTGACTTAAAACCACTTGCCCCTCACCGCTGTGCGTTCGAATCCCGACGGGGACTTTAGATTCTTTCATGTTAGTGAGGAAGCTTTCCAGCTAGCTTACGGAACGTCGGTGGTTCTACTCAGGTGCCCGTTTGTGCCTGAAATAATGCACGGAAAGGCACCTGAGGTCTTCCTCCACCAGTAAAGCTGGAACGTCGCCAAATGACCTATACTGTATCGGTGTGATGTTAAACCCAATCAAACAAACAAACAAAACCAACCATATTAAAATTTTGTATTTACTATTACAGGTGGAACAGTGGACATAACTGTTCACGAGGTGATGAGTGGTGGTCATCTTAAAGAATTGGATAAAGCCAGCGGAGGAGCATGGGGAGGGGTACAAGTTGACGACGCTTTCTTCCGTTTTTTGAATGAAATTGCAGGACCAGGTAACAAATTATATTGCATAAAAAAGAAACAAATTAATTTGTCGTTTAAGATGCTTTAAACATTATATGATAATTATATTCATGTTCTAGATTGTTTCCATACGGGGGAGAAAATATAGCAAATGCAGATAGTCTAAATTTTTTATTTATTCAATTATTTATTTCTCCCCGTGTTTGTAACATCTGATATTGTATATCCATTTAAACGAGGGATATATTTAGAAAATTAGTTTGTTAATGTTTACTGAAATAAATGGCTTCGAATATATAAATATAACGGTTATTACATAAGCTTGACTAAGGAAAACTTAAAAAAAAAAATACTAACATGATAAAAGTTTCTTTAGTACATTGTTACGTATTCTATTATATTTCAAAACATCTAGGGCCCGATGTGATGCCAATGTTCAGAGACAAAAACATGGAAGACTACCTGGAATTGTTTAGGGACTTTGAAGTTAAGAAGCGTGAAATTGGACCGAAGAAAGACACAAAAATTACTTTCAGAATACCTGCAGCTCTATCTGACACTGTAATGGAAATGAGGGACCAACCGTTACAGGACGTGATAAAGAAGACAAAGTTTTCAAGCAAGGTAAACAAATGCTTAATATAAATGAGTATATAGCACAATCTAGGATTGTCATCACTAATTTAATGATGCAATATTGAGTTAGTATTTAGATTTACACAGAGTTATTTAAACGATTATGCAATTATTTCATTCTCGCCAACAGGTCAAATTGATGGGAGATAAATTGCGAGTAGACGCAGCTGTTGTAAAAGGCTTCTTTGAACCTTCCATTGAAAGCATTGTTAAGCATGTGAAAGGTTTGCTACAGAACAGCAGCACAATAGAGGCGTTGAGGCTATTGTAATGGTTGGTGGGTTTTTTCTGAATCACCAATGCTGCAGGAGACAGTGAGAAGTCGCTTTCCTGACTTGAGAATTATAGTTCCAGATGAAGCTGGACTAGCAGTTCTCAAAGGGGCTGTTATCTATGGTCATAGTCCAACAACAATCTCACAAAGAGTTAGCAAGTTCACGTACGGAACCGATGTCTCACAAGTTTTTGATGCGGATAGACACCCATTTGCGAGAATGAAACTGACTGATACTGAAGTAAGATGTGAAAATGTATTTTCGAAGCTAGCAGAAGCTGGACAAATATTGGAAGTTGGCCAGGCGCAAGACGAGCAAACCTATACTACCATAAATGAAACACAAACAGAGATGGGTATGAATATTTACGCTACTACAGACAAGAATCCAGGGTTTATAGATGATGTCGGTTGCTACAAGATTGGCACCTTTAGTGTACCTGTTTCTGGGAGTGGTGCCGGACGAGAAGTTACAGTTAAAATGATATTTGGAGGAACTGAAATTGACGTTGAATGTACAGAAAAGGCAACAGAAAAGATCACACACCTAAAAGTAGATTTTCTGTCATAGATGCTGACCTTCCATTTTTAGATCATTGAAGGATCATTACAGACGATTTACAAAAAATGAGTACTAATGTACTATTTGATGAAATTGTACGGCGTTACACAAATGATTCTTCAATCAGATATAAAAACCACGTCTTTAAAACACTTCGCTTCATGTATACCTAAGAAGATCTGAACGTTAGTCTATAACTCAGTGACCGATTGGAACCAGTTGCTAGGATTTATTGAATACTAGTATACTAGCTCAACAGCAGGAATATAAAATGAATCATTATAAATTGACACACTATAATAAAACATATTATGGTACTTCTATGTTTGAACATCTTATGAACCCTGTATAGAGCGGGTGCACCTGATGCCGAACATGCTCCTAATTCCGACCAAAATATTATAATTCATTTAATATTTCATTTTTAACACAATTCAAAAAATTGAAATCATTATTATAACGTCAATTTGTCTCTATTTCCACCCGCAACATTTTGAATTCGCGGTTGTGTTGTTTGTTGTGATTTTGGGCATTCAAGGATTTACTTCAATTTTTGGTTAGACATTTTATTTATTAGCTATTTTTTTACAAATTTTTACTAATATCATAAAATATTGAATATTGATGCTTTAGTCAAATTCTTTTGAAATCAATGATGTAGACAAAAATAAAAATCATGTGTGAAGCCCCTGTACATGTTTTAAGGTCGTATGAATGAATAACTGGCAGTGTTCAAATGTTTTTACACATTGAAATTTAATTGTAAACATTCTAATTTTGAGCATATATGTGATCCTTATATTTATCAAAATATGTTTAAATTTAAACTCATAGTGTGAATTAAGTGTTTAGATTATAATTTTCATGATTTTCATGATTCATATTATGATATTTATGAGAAAAAGAGCTTTATTCATGAAATATTATCAAGTCGAATTATGAAAAAATGATTGATATGTGAAAATAGATTGCTTGCTTGCATTGTGCCATGGGTATTATTGTATTAGCCGTCAAAAGAAGTTTAATGATAGTTAAATTTTACTAGAATTTTACTGATAAATATTTTCAACTTTTGAACACTTTTACGAATGAAGTTATGAAGAAGAGAAAGACAACAAAACTTAGCCAACCCTTAAATGTTTTTTCTTTAAAGTAGAAATACCTATGTCATTATAATAGTAGAGATGGACTTATCTAACTCATGTAGCACAACAGAATAATATTACAAAGTATGGTGACAGAAGTACATCTTAACAACTTTCATTCAATAAAGCTTTAAAGATATTTTCTTTTTTTTTTGCTGTCAAGTTGAGATGAATAAGTAATATTTTTCAAGAAATTATAATCATAGTGATTTCACCAATATTTGATAATAAAAATGTTTACCAGAGTAATATATAAAAAACCTAAATTATTCAAAAGACTACCTCAAAATTTTAAACAAATGACCGTTGCGTAGACATTCCGAACGATAATTATAGCAATTCTCGTGGCCAACGTGGATTATTGATTTTTTTGCATACTAGTATAAAAAATAAGATTGAACACAAATATGGCAAAATGAATGATTGTTTTGACTTTTACCTGTGCACTGTCCATTATTATAATGTCACTTTAGATAAAATGCGATTTGGAATGATGATGCAGTTGTATAAGATACATTTACTTTCAAATTGACATGTATGTGAAACCATTAAATTGAAATGCGTAACTGGAGTATTATGTTGAAATATACCTTATTGTACATTCTAACACTGCTCGTTATTTTGTTACTATTCACAAAGAAGAAGAAAAGATCTTAAACTAACAATAAACACTGGTTAGGGACTACATGTATCCATATGTGCCTGATTTATTTCTTCTCTCACTCCGATAGCGTTGTAAGGCAACAATAATAACACGTTTTTGTTATTATTATGTTTTCTTTTCACTTGATGCTAAAATAACCTCTCGCATACTCTAACACCACAGGTTAAATATCCATATCAGTTAGAAAAATCTGCGCCAAATTGTAAGCAGCGTAATGACGTTATCCTAAGTATTGGAAGTACTTCCCGCTTAAAAAATAGCGTAATTGATCTCTCATATTTTTCTTGATAGAATAAAAATTATATTAGACTGAGCGGTATTTATCGTTTTGATGGGAAAAAATTAACTACGCATCAAAACTTCGAACCGGTGATTAATAGCCGAAAAACACCGCCGAGAATTATATGATTTCTTAATTGAAACATTTGTAACTAAGTAATGTATGAATGGAAACAACAGTTTACCCCTGTGCCATTGAGCAGTTACCGAAAGCAGGCTTTCAGCTTTGGCGGATTTGAGCTTTAGTATTGTACCATACCAATCGAATTCTTGGCAGAAATATCTTGCTCTATATTTAATCCTTACATTGAATATTGTCCTCAAGAAGTATCAATGTAATGCGTAAGGACAAACTAATTTTTTATCGAAGTGCTATTATTGCAACAACGGCGATTTTATCTTAAAATATGTTTTCTGTTTAATATTAGAATGTAGTTTAAACAAACAATGGTGAGCAATCGTAACGGACCTTTTGAAAAATACATTATGAAAAAAAAATCAGGTACAAGTATTCTAAATGTTAAATAAACGAGTGGTGCGCATACATTTCGGATGGTGCATATTTTTAATAAGTCGAGAATATCTGAAGGCTTTGTACACCTACATTAAGTTCTCAAGAAAAAATGTCTGTATCATAATTAAAAACATTATTTAAGTCCCTTGTAGTATGCCTGCTAAAGAATAAATAAATAAATAAATAAATAAATAAATATATAAATAAATAAATAAATAAATAAATAAATAAATAAATAAATAAACGAATAAAAGAAAATAAAAAAAAATCATGACTTCAACCATTTAATGTTTGACGATTCTGGGTACTGGTAATGTGACATTGAAATAAATTAAGAACTATTTTATTACTGATTTTATGTGAAGTACTAGAAGCAATATTATGTTTGAAATATCTTTATTTCTTTAAGATAATTTGAAAAGGTTAAAATAGTTAGGAAAAGTATGAACTAGACGCAATATCTAATCACATTTAAACGCCTACCTTTTATTATTAAAGCGTTTATTAAAATTCAGTCTTTATAATCATTCAAATTTTACCAATCGGCTTTTGAATAAATTTAGAATTTCATTGTATTTAAATATAGATCTTTTATGAACAAATTGTTATTGTAAATGCAGATACCCGTGAATACCACCGGTTAACGAACCGTTAAGAAGTTACACTACCTCCAGTTAAACCATACATATAAAGAACTTGATGACAGGATGGTAAGTGTCTGATGTTTATATTTATTTAAAAAGCGCATTTAATGTAGTCAATTAAGATAATAATATGGGTTTTCATGAATTGTTTTACTTCTTTAGTAATACAAATCACAAATTGATCATGTTTTTTTAAATGAAACGATGATTGTTAGTACATGTTGTAAATTTTAGAAAAAGGAAACGTATTATATTAGGTCAACATGGAAAAAGATTAATGTTTTCATGGTAAACCATTTGAATCTACTTCCTTGTCTAGACCATGAAATAGTAAACACCGATTAAGATAACTGATAATGTTACACAGTTGTAGAAAGTGATTAAGGTAAACTTTGAAGAATCCAATACAAATTCTAGTTTAAATATTTAACGTATTTTGAAAATATTTAGCCTAATTTGGGTTTGTAACAACATTGAAATCGAAAGAGGAAGTTATTTCAACAATAAGTTGTATTAATTCCTGGAAGCAGTAAAATCTTATTTTCTATGTGGAAAGAGATTGATACAATAATGGTAGGTTTAAATTATAATTTCCTAGGACAAAAACGCGATCATTTTAAACTTCTGTAAATATCTAAGATTATTTGTCATCATACCAATTATTTTTACCCTCTAATAAGCTTAAATAACTCGTTTAAAGTTCTCAATCCTTTCCATAAATGATCGGTACATTTTATCATTTACTAAAATTTTATGTATTCTATTTAAGGCTGAAAATTCCCTATTAGTGGCAGCTATAGATTTTGGAACAACGTATTCTGGCTGGGCGTTTTCGTTTAGACATGAATTCGAACGGGAACCAACTAAAGTATCTGCGAAAAATTGGAGCGGTGGCCAGCTTGTTTCACTGAAAGGTGAACATAATAAAGATTTACTTTATCAATTGAAAAAAACAAAAAAACATTTGCTATCTATTCATCGTTCGAAAACTAAGAGTCCCATTATTTTGTATCGAACATAATTTACGATTTAGTTAAGGAATGTGAAGGCCAAAGATAACGTTGTTAGAGATGATTTGCCCAACACTTGTTCATAAACGCTTCAACGCATTATGTTTTCAAAATCATATATATTGTGCAAATACATATGTATGTATTTATACAAAATATTTTATTAAACTTATACAGGAATTAAAGCATAAAAATATCTGGTGATGCATCTCATATCATTGAAAGAAATCCTTTCTAAAACATTTACATTAGATATATTATCAATGTCCTGATAAAATATTAAACACCTTGTACTCGTTATGACAATATCATCTTAACTTAAGTTGTTTCATAGATTATTTATTCAAAGGAAAATTAAAAACATATTTTACTACGGTCTAATTGTTGCTCCTTGTTTAAGGGCCGACTTGTGTATTGATAAAGCCAGACGGTCAAACTTTTCACAGTTTTGGATTCGAAGCAGAGAGCAAGTATGCTGATCTCGCATTAGACGAGGAACATGAATCGTGGTACTTCTTTAAACGGTTTAAAATGAAACTCTTCTCAGAGGTAATTAAATAAAAAAAAGTTCATCAAAGTAAAAGACGCTTAATACGAAAAAATAACCTTTAACTTACTTGGGAATATTAGGTAGCGAATTTGAAAGATAAAAATGCTTTAATGAAATACTCATACACTTGAAATTCGAAATTAAATCGATTTACATTAAAATGTTTCAAAATTTAATTATCAATTTATATTTCCTAAAATATGATAGAGATATAATAACTGCCTTATATGCGAGTAAATAAAACCGGCATAAAATTTCAAACCTTTTAAAATATATGAGAATAAATTGCTGCAGAAACTTAAGTGACTTTAATTAAATTCTGAATCCAATTCAAATGCATGAACAAAAGAAATGGTTATAATGATAAAACTAAAGACTCATACAAACATTGTACAATGCTATATATAGTTATGTATATCAGAAATTGACACACCTTCTTTTTTTTAGTTTCAATTTGTTTTACTTGTTTACTTGTGGCAATAAAAAGTTATCTAGCTTCTATATATTTCTATAAATTAGATGCAAAACGTACAGGTTTTCAAACTTTCAAATGCCGTGATATCGTTTTGTTTGTTAAAGGGGCTCGGGAGAAACCTGCTACTCGAAGATGCAAGTGGGAAGAAACTATCAGCAAAATTAGTTTTCTCGCTGTCAATCAAACATTTGAAAGATGATCTTCTCAAATTGTCTGAGAATCGTATTTCTGGCGGAGGTCTTAGAGATGGTGACATAAAGTGGGTTTTAACAGTTCCTGCAATCTGGAATGATGGCGCTAAACAGTTTATGAGAGAAGCTGCACGAGAGGTATAAATAGTTTAAAACATGACAACAAACATGTTGATTATCATTATTTGCATCAATAATCGTCGGTTAATATAATTAGTTCATTACAGACAGTTTGAACATATCAAAATAATAGAAAGATACATTTGTTACTGAAATTTGAAAAAGAATGAAATAAAAGATACCGTGGTAATGTTAAAACTGCTGAATTTAGAATGCACTGTGACTAAAAGAATTGGATATCAAACTTCTGTTTATTAAACATATCCTAAATTAGATGGTTGTGTTGTATGTAAAGAATTTGCTTTTAAATAAAGCAGCGATTTAATTTGTTAATGATATTTTCAGGCTGGGATTTCTGACGACAAGCTGACCATTGCTTTGGAACCGGAAGCTGCGAGTCTTTACTGTCGCCATCTGCCGGTAGAGAAATGTGGAAGTGATAAAATGTCCTTGTCCAAGTTTGGAGCTGGAAAACGTTATCTTGTATTAGATGCCGGAGGTAAAGTAATTGATATTATCTTTCAATGCATGTCGTACAAGAAAATTTGGCACTGGACAATGGGAATGCGTTTAAAATTCTCATATAATGTTTTAGAAATTGTATGAAAGTAATGAGGTAAATTAGACAGTTAATCTAAAAACTATGCACTTATACCTATCAATGTTACCATTAAATTTACAAAATGCAACGAATATTTATTTGTGCATTGGTATAAAATGGAAGGTCTGTATGTGGATAGCTTTTAGTATCATACTTGACAAAAAGCACGGATAAATTAAATAGGGATGCTTTCGATATTTATAAGTGTGATTTACGTAATCCAGAAAAAAAACTATTATTTTTCGACACATAACTACTTTAACTAAACCTCTTAGAACTCTTTAAACATTTTACTTTTAAGAAATATTTTATAAGAATACCCAAACGATACATTTCAATTGTTGTTTATCTTTATTAATTTTGAAATACTTACGGAAATGTGTTCATTGTAGACCAGTCCACTTTATCTTTGATGCGTCATTTATGAGTTTTTTTATCATGCATAATTATATTGTATCATCATGGAACTTTGATTGACAAATTTACCCAAAGTGTTTGGTCGTGATTAAACGCTCAGAAATGCAAATTCTCCAAACAGAAAAAGAACTTTTATACATAATTGTAGGCGGAACCGTTGACATAACTGTCCATGAAGTTATGAGAGGTGGTTGTTTAAAAGAACTTCACAAGGCAAGTGGTGGGGCATGGGGAGGAACAACCGTCGATGATGCTTTCTTTAATTTTCTCTCAAAAATTGCAGGTTTGTATTTTCAACACAGTATGTTTTAAAATTACGTGGACACATTTTTATCAGCTTGTAATAAATATAAATAATGTATTGTCACTTAGTATTTTAAGTTTCATACTAACATTTTAAAATAGTTTGCTCATTTTAATTTTGTTTAATTGAATAAACCTTGTTCTGCTCAAGAACTTGCTTGAGTTGAAGAATGATTTATTGCTAAACGTATTTTTTTTCAAAGGGCCGAGCGTAATGGCAAAATTTAAGGACAAGCATATGGAAGATTTCATAGACCTTTTCCGTGATTTCGAAGTCAAAAAACGGGAGATACGTCCGGACAAAGATTCTAAAGTTACATTTAGAATACCTACCGTGTTTGCAGATCTCGTTAAAGAAGTGAAAGGAGAAACCTTGCAGGACTCTATTTCAAAAATGGCATATGCTAACCAGGTATATTATTTTATTTTAATAAGGTACAGCGCAAGTATATTGTAATAAAACAACACAATCCAAGTGAATCATTTTTATTTGATATGTTGAATAAAACAAAAAACTGGTGACGTATAAAGCCCTATTAACAATTAAAAACATGTTGATATCTACTGGTTGAAAAATAACACTACAAATAGCATGTTTTTTTTAGAAAACAAACAAGTTTGTAAATAGTTTGTAGTTAAAGCTTAATACTGTAAGTGGAAATGCCCGGATTGATTCAATAACCTTCATGAAATATAAAGTAAGTGAGTGAGTTAAAACTTCAAACAATAAAGTTTTTTTTCATGCAGGTAAAGCTAGTGGGAGACAAGCTTCGAGTTGAACCCGACATTGTAAAGAGTTTCTTTGAGCCGTCCATAAATAGTATCATGAGGCACGTGAGAGAATTGCTGCAGAAACCAGTTAACAGGGGAGTTGAAGCAATTGTTATGGTTGGTGGTTTTTCTGAATCCCTTTTACTTCAGCATGCGACGAAAGGCACTTTTTCAAATTTGCGCATTATTGTTCCTGACGAAGCAGGCCTGGCAGTCTTGAAAGGCGCAGTAATTTTTGGTCACCAGCCATCGGTAATATCGGAACGAGTAAGCAAATACACATATGGCGTCGATACTATTCAAAATTTTATTCCGACGCGGCACCCGATTGAAAAGCAGAAAGTCGTATCTGGCGTTTTAAAATGCCAGGACATATTTTCTATACATGTTAAGGCAGGTGAAACGCTTGTTGTCGGAGAGCCGCAAACTGAACAAACTTATACGACATCAACTGAAACTCAACATGCTATGGTCATAGATATTTATGCAACACAACAGCTTAATCCAAAGTATACCGATGAGCCTGGATGCCATAAAATCGGCACAATAGACGTTCCTGTTTCGGGAAGTGGGCTTGGTAGAAAGGTGATGGTGAAAATGATTTTCGGCGGTACAGAAATTGAAGTGGAATGCACAGAAGTAGCAACAGGGAAAATCACTCGCACAAAAGTTGACTTTTTAACATAAAATGATGCGCCATGGATACAATTGTAGATGATGAATGGAGTGCGATACCCCGCACACACGTAGATTGTTAATTATGGTATATCGATTGCAAGGCATTATGTATTCCTAGCACCATAGTATATAATTATATTTTTAAGAAAATCATTTATATGTAGCAGCAAAGATGCAGTAACATGTATGCAGTTTAATGTCGAAATGATTCAATTCGTTAATAATTTACCTATTTTAACTTGTAACTCGTCAAGGAATCAATGGGGATATATTTAAAGGAAGGAAGATGAAAAGAGCAACAACAAAATTCAAACTACTTACGACGAAATGAAACGCTATCTACCAACCATTTGACACATTTGTAAATTTTGATTTTTATAGTTCATGAGTTAACATTGCCATATATGATATAAATGTATATTATAATTAAGAACTTTTGTGTGAATCACTTTGTGCAACGAAACTTTAAATAAAATTTGGATATCATTAATTTTTCGATCAATCGAAACGTACTTAAACTCTTAGTCTAGAGGCGGTTACGAAGTCTACCCAATGCAAGACATCCCTGCTGTCTAACAATGTTAATCATTAAGACATTATTTATTTCAAAATTAACCATCAAAATGATGAAAGGTTTTGTGCGTTTAAGATAATTAGTGTATAAAGGTTAATTGGAAACCCTTAGAAGCTTAATGAGATGCACAATGACAAAATAATTTAGACATTTCGAGATAACCAGCCATATAAACAAAACAGTTTCTTATACTTATAAGTTACTTATAGCAGGCCCCTATACCAAGGGTGGTGAATGATGCGTAAGGATAAAAATATGCGTGTGTCCGGGCATGGGAGGGGGCGGAACAAGTGAATTTAATAAGGTTGAATTAAAGATTTAAATTCTTGATAAAGTGAAAATTCAAAGTTATTATTTAAAACTTTAAAGCCGTAAGGAAAAGAAATGTAATGATATTTTCCCAAAATCATAATAAATTTCCACCTTATCTATGAAGACACAATGACGATTAAAGACACGAATATTGTAAAAATATCTATGAAGTGTTAATTAAAATGTCGTTGATATGCACAATTGTATGAATATAAAATTTGCGAATGATGAATATTTTTGTCAATCGCAATGAAGTTAAACATTGACTTGTGAATGTGAAGGCAACTATAGTACTAGAAAACTCACTGACAGCCTGCCTAGGACAAATGTGATGACAGAACTATTACAATAATCTGGTGAATTCAATGTAGCTTTCTGCTGTGATCCGGAGTTTAAACTACTACCACCACCACCATCACCCTGTAAATGTACTAAATGTTTACACATTATACGAGATTCTGAAAAATATTATCTTTGAGTATGGGAAAAAACAAAACAGCAAAAAAATTGTTTTCGCTGGAGTTTGCATTCAAAGAGGAAGTGGAGCTGAGTCAAGCCATCTTTACGTCAAATTGTCAACGAGTTCAGTTAAATCCGTAGGAATAAAATTGGATGGTTTCGTCGTAAAAGGACAATTGCATTGATTCCTTAATTCTTTGACTGACTGTTTTTGTAAATTGTGCGTTTTAAAATATGCATCTTATTAATTGTATTAATGCAATCTGGAGAGGATGATTCAAGCCATTATTATTCTTAAATGTTTGTTTCATTCAAATCATTGGTCACTCACATATCGCTTTTGGTAAGATGTACGGCAATATGTTGAAATGAATATAGAATGTAAGAAGCATTCGAAGAACAGTAAACCTAAAGTGATTTAACAGACTAGCGATGGTTTTTTTTCTCTGATGTATGTTTTAAATTATGCCCGTATGGTTAAATTGAAGTTTAATTGTTTTCAGACAGTCGGTAATTTTACTTATGTGCGTGAAATACTACCAAGATGTTTGAGACTTTTGTTAAAGAAGAAAACGTTAACCTATCTTACAACAGACGACCAATGTAATTATTACTTTGCTGATGCTTTAATGAGTTATTGATGAATTTTGTCCACTTTGGAAGAAAACGGGCGGTCGTCGTTGGTGATAACAGAAAATTGCCTTGAACATATCACTTCTACTAAAAATCAACCTGTGATTGTCGTTTAGTACCGGTAACAATAAGAAGACATGTCATACCTTACAATCACTGCACGATGGTTGCAAATCGGCCGGATATCGGACGACTATTGGACAGTTATTATACGTTAGTCAGCCGATTACCTTAATAATATCGACAGGTGTCCAGAAAAAAGATTCGAAATGTTATAACCTGGTGATCGGGCGAGATTCCTTTGAAAAACGTACGGGCAACAGATGATGAATAGCCCTTCCTCCTTTTCCTCGGATATGATTAAAATTTTTCTCTCTGATTTCAAATTATGAACGGTGTTATATCGATCCCTCTTTTCGGAACGTCGCCGCTTGTAATATGGAGTAGGCTTAACCAAGGAACAACCAGGATCCCTTCTGAAACTGGGCAATTGCAAATGAATTTTATAACCATTGCTGTTTTTAGCGCCTTTAATAACACACAGATAACGATGGACTCTCTAAGTAATTTAGGTTTTATTTTTAGATTCTTGCTAATTTGTATAAAAATGTTATTTTTATCGAGTAAACAAATGAACAAAAAATTAAGTTTGATCAGGTACCATCAGTCTATAATATATATTAGCTTTTCAAAGCGTGGCAAAAACCCCCACCTTTATCTCGTGTGTTTAAGGGGAGAAATATCATGAATAAACTTGTAAATTCAGTCATGTTTTGCGATTACTTTCTTAATCTGTAGTCGTGCAACTATGATAAATTCAGAATAGTTATTCCAAACCTTTGTATAACACTACAAATCTTCGAAAAAGAATCATATAAGTAAAACTACATTACAAGAGTAACATCTGCCGCAACGTAAGACATTATTATATTGTGGGATTCACTACAGTTTTAAGCGTTGATTGAAAACGAAGTATTCTTGAAAACACGCCATTTCTTTCGACACTAGAAAGTTCGACAGTTGAATAATGGACAATATTTGGCTGACCTGCATTGCTATGGTAAGTGATACATTTATATATTATAGTTAAACTTTACATACTATACTTTTTTAAAATTATTTTATCTTATATTTTATCGTACAATAAAATATGCATTATTTTGAAATGATAATGTTACGGGTCCCCCTGTATTACTCTTTTGACAATTTAATATCCCCGTTCTTATTATTCTGAATAATTTGCAAGTTTCAAAAATAAAAGACATATTTTCTGAAATTTAGATAATCTTAAATGGCCTAATATGGCGCTTTTTCAACTAGAATCTTGTTTAATTATCAAGCACTCGGACTAGTCATGCACGCTGTCTTAGTTGCAGGTCTTAATCACATTGTTTTCTTTTTATTTTGCAATTGCTTGGCGTAAATGTTTTGCTATGGGTTCGAATCCCACCGATGAATTTGATTTCTTTCATACGAGTAAGTTATCGAGCTCGGATGCTCGTTCGTGCCCGAAACAATGAAGGGATGGATACAAGAGTTCTTCCCAAAATATAAAGATGGGAAGTTTTGCCATTTATCTATAATGTTATGTGAGAAAATATGCTCAACAAACACATTTTTGATCTGGAGAAATAAAGATTTTTAGTAATAGAAAATATTTAAAGCTGCATGCCTCTTAATGTGGCAAAATATTTAAAAAATATTAAAAAAAAAAAAAAAACAAATTGGAGAGTATGTGCCGTTTGCAATGTGTGCATGTAAATTGTTTAGTGTACACTATTTTATTTTTTTTTTAAACTCATTTCAAAATTTTCATGCAAATAAGGGACGTTTTCCAGAATCTAAAATGTTTTTAATGAATACTATTCTTTATTTTCTATTGCTGTATTTCTCTTTTTGTTGTTTGTTTGTTTGTTTGGTGTTGTTCTTTCCTCGAAGATATCGCTTTATTAATATAGTTTACTTTAATTAGTGTTCCTTATTCTTCGCCGGTATATTCACTTGGTTCTAAATGCACATATTTCTTTCGTTTTTCTTCACACGCATATTTACATGCGATATACGTATGTATAAATTTACATCGAGTTATTAAAACTTTGATACTTTTAATGCCTTTTATGCTTATTCACTTAACAAATACTGATAAAATAAATACATTCAATTTCCGTTTAAACGTATACTTCAAAATCAAACAATTTCAAAGGAAGAGTTAAACGTTGGCATTTTTACAGGATTTCATATAAAACCCCCACAAATTCTTCAACTTTGAATCAGATACGTTATCATCAAGCTGTCAAGTTATACGCTTTTAATTCTTTAAACACGCACCATTAGGTTTAAAGAAGATAAAAAACATATGTTACTGATTAATGAAACTTCAGCAGAGTTTTTTTAATCGACGTGGAGTAATGATATGATTTCTATCTAAAGATGACACCAAAGTCAATAAAAAGTTACTTTGTCATCATTTTATTGTCATTTTTGTTTTGAAAAGAATTCTTGTTATCTTTTATTTCTCCGAGAATGACGCCGAAGGCATACATACAAGAATTGTTTACGCCACAGCTGGCTGAAAACGAACCAGTCCTTTGGTATATAAAGAATCCATTTTAGTTATATATTGTGTAAGAAGCTATGAACGGAAAAATATACTATCCAGTCCATTTCCAGAATCAACCAATACAGAGCATTGAGAGTATACTGTTCACGGAAACAAAGGACTGCCCCTTACGGAGGTTTAACCCAAGAGAATTAGATAACTAGCCATCAAGCAATGGCGCCACTGTCCCGACCAACGCTTTGTCACCTTGTGTAGCTTAATGCTTGCTATGCTACTATTCCTAACGCTATATATCATCTTTGTTCATTGCCTGGCCCGTAAGTGTATGCAGGGTAAGGCATTTAGGGTCTTTCAACACTAATTGTGTCTTATGCAATCCGGTGCCAAGGGAAAAACACTTGTAATTAAACTGATGTGAGTAATGCAAAGGACACTTTAAAACGAAGACATGTCCTAAAAAGATACACACAAGAAAAGAAAATAGTCAAACAGCATTAAAATTAATAACGACATAACCCATAATCTTAAATATTTATTTTTACTTGCTAAAAAAAAGAACAAATGTGGTTACTTGTATCCTTTGTTTATGTCCCATACCTTAATTAAAATGTGCTTTATGAATCATACTATACTGTCTTGTTTATTTATTAAAGCTTCTAGCGACATCGGCAACAGTTTTACAACTTTCAGAGGCAGCATGCGGTGGTTCAAGACCAACATGCAATACGGATGATGACGTAAGAACTGTTATTTGTTAACTGCCAATAGATTATGGCGTCCTTTTCTCCAAACTCAACAATAGGCTTCTTTGAAATAACGTGCTGTGTTACGTTGGTTTACTGCGGGGAACATTTTAAGAATACTGTTTGGACTATATAAATGCCAGTGACTTTAATGATATGCTTATAATGCCATGTTATCCTGTACACCAAATCAATCTGATTAGGCATTAATGAATAATGGTTAGCACTATTTGTGACTAAAGCCGAATTTTAAATATTTTTTAAACAGCAACGAGCAAAATCAAGGTTTAAAGTGAAATCAAATTCATAAATTTAGCATGAACAGGGTTGATAAGGCTTTGACAACATATCGCCTGTAATTAGCTCATTACTGATAATTGATTTTGAAATCATAGATAATTATGTTGAATTCGTGATTTTTTTCTCAATTGAAACATTTGTGTTAAGAATAAAGCAATGCGTAGGTTAAGAATAAGCTGCTATTAAAGAAAACCGCCTTTTTAAATTCAATTTTCTTTTGTTTCATGTGGCTTTAGTGTGATCCTGGTTTAGTGTGTCTGCCAACTGGACAATCAGGGGTTAAGAAATGCTGGAACTGTAAGTAGTGAATGCCGTTTTATAATTAAATAAATGCGTTTTTAACCTTTTTTTCAAAGTGTATGTGTGTGACTTTAAAATGTGTGTTTATCTTGATGACATACTACATTTTATTCATATTCTAAAACAGAAAAGCCACAAAAACTCCAGGGAGGGGATGGCGCATGCGCATGACGTGACTTTTGTTTTCAAGATCTATACTTGATAAATACGAGTTGTTATTTTCAGGCGAATGCTCTGACACAAGTCAATGCGAAATTATACAAGGCAAACTGACGTGTAATTGTTCCCAAACAGCTGGTTATTACGGAACACATTGTGATTGTCCGCCTGTAAGCGACGGTAAGCACTAGGAACCACCTTTTTAACATAATACGATAGCTTCTATTTAGATTGTATGATTTTTATCCCCATGACTGCGACTCGATTGGAAATGAGGTTAAGTTTTCAACTTGCGTTATAAGTAATTACTAAATGACAATACAATGTATAGTAAATTAGAAAACATTTTTTTGTATATTTATTTGTGTTACAAGGCAATACAAAAGGATATTGGTGTTACGTGTTTGAAGTCTACATTGTTTAACAATGTACTTTATACTGTGATTTCGGTTTCATAAAATATTTTGAATTTATATATTAATCCTTAAAGCAGCATGCCACCACGTTCATGCTTATTTTCATAACACTTCTTACACACAGATACTCACACATTGCCAACGGCACTAACAATCCACATAAAATCCCCCCCCCCCCTAAAAAAAAAAAAAAAAAAAAACCAAAGAAAATAAATAAATAAAAATAAAAGTCAAAAAATGTAAAAATAGCTCTTTCTCCGCTAGTCACGCAGTATAAATGTGCTCACTTGATTGATATTGCAAAATCAGTCATTAATCTCACCTCACATGCAAAAACATTACTTTAAACTTGAACCCTTTTTCACTTAAAATGGTATGCAAGCAAAAAGGTGTCTCATAAGTCAAAATGACTGGCCCTTTCAGTAGGGGTGACACTATAATAAACAATACCTTTACCTTTATACATCCTTCCATCCTGGACTGGAAAAACTCAAAAAAATATGTTCCATATCTACATTTCAGAATCATGCGCAGATGCCTTTTCCGTATATGGTGGTGAGTTTTAACAGATATTAATGGCACATTATGCCTTAGAAACAAATAAATTTTTACTTAATATGCTCAATGAGCTTTATAATTAGGTAAATGTGAGATGCTTGTTACATGAGAAATAGCGATAAATGGGAAAAAATTGTCTTAAAAATTGCAAAATGTATATAAATAGCATTTTGAATTCAATACAAAATACTAATTCACTATTATAATAGTACTAATTGCAAAAAAGCAACAGATGAAAAAATTGGTTTCGGTAAATGGCCAATGAGTAACGTTTTGGACACTATCAAAATATGACAAAAATTAAAAGGTTTTGAGAAAAAGAATAAAAACATTTCTGTGGCAAAAATTTAAGTATAAGAATATTTAAAAAAAAGTATGTGGATTCATAACATACTTTCTGTCATTTTGCATTTGCCCATGTGTTTTTCATTATTTACGATTTTTCGCCTGCAATTTATATTTTAATTCATTCAATAAATTGGCCGGCAAAATTTCTTAGCATGGAAGGTTCTAATGACAAAAATGATTTTACTTTTTGTGTCGTTGTAAATAAAGACTTTGAACTTATTCAACATTTCTAGTAAACAAAAACAATAAATAACATCAAATGAGCCGCGTCACGACAAAACCAACATTATGGGTTTGCGACCAGCATGGATCCAGACCAGCCTGCGCATCCGCGCAGTCTGATCATGATCCATGCTGTTCGCTATCAGTTTCTCTACCTGGCATAGAGTTTGTAAGCGAACATCATGGATCTTGATCAGACTGCGCGGATGCGCACGCTGGTCTGGATCCATGCTGGTCGCAAACGCATTTCGTTGATTTTGTCGTGACGCGGCTCAAATAATAATAAATAAAATGAAGAGAGTCGTTCCCTGACTAACATTGAACCGATTATTTTTCTTGTAGAGTGCAATACGTTCTCCGATGATGCATTTGAAGTTCTTAACAGCAGAATTCTTAACGCCGGCGAGACAGTTGAACCTGTATTCACATATTTTTACACAAACTCTAGCGGAGAAAGTGATTGTAAGGCAAAGTGTATAGAGAACGACTGTCACGTCTTTACCTACGGACAAGGTAGTTGTGACGTGTTTGGAAAAACAGACACAATGCCGCTCTCAACAATATTGGACAGTATCAGTGAAGAAGACACTTTTGATATTCATATTAGAAAATGTATCGAGTGTTAAAATTTAAATACGACCACGAGACACACACACACGTATTAATGGGTTGACCAATCAGACCGCTGGACTTTGAAATGATATTACATTTACAGATGCAAAATAAATGAAATAAAAATAAAAAGCATATTTTTAGAATTATTATTAAAATCCAATGTATTTGCAGGTTATGTTTTGATTTTATATAGAATTTATTTTAGTTCGATTGTTTAGGAAGCTATAAGCTTATAGATACACTTTCGAAACCGTTCCTGGAAACAACCAGTACTGAGCAATGAGTGTAAAGTTTCTTGCTCAAGGAAACAACGATTTGCCCCTGACGGGATTTGAACCTATTGATCGAGGTTATATTTTGACTAGTAAAAAAATATAGAACAGTAAACACCCAGAAAAGAAATTGAATAAGATATGTAATTTAAATAAAAACATGTCGCTTCGAATGTTGTTAACTTGATTCACGATAATTTGAACACGTACGATGATACAATGTATAATTAAATGTCAGATATAACCAAAAAAGCACGAAAGATATACATGTAAATGGCTGTTGTTGGCAACTGTGAGATGCATGATCCAATGTTAAAAATAATTGTGTAGCAGATAATGAATTGATCTATCTAGAACAATTATTATTATCAACCTGACAAATGTTGATACTTGATCGTTTAGAACTTTATCATCATTTCTTGTCTAATATTATATTATAAGAGCATCCAAAATGATACTTTTCTATTTTTTGTTTATCTATGGTTCTTTTTTTAATCAATATTTGAAATACTTATAAAAAATGAGCCCATTGCAGACCAATCCAATCAAACGAAACTTCAATACTTTAGCCGTGTCATGACAATACCAACATAATGGGTTTATGACCAGCATGGATCCAGACCAGCCTGTGCATCCGTGCAGTCTGATCAGGATCCATGATGTTCGCTTACAAACCTAATAACAAATAGAGAAACTAATAGCGAACAACATGGATCCTGATGAGACTGCGCGGATGCGCAGGCTGGTCTGGATCCATGATGGTCGCAAACCCACTATGTTGGTTTTGTCGTGACGCAGCTCATTTGCAATTTCGCCTCATTATCAAGTTCATTTTATTGTCATTTGTTAAATTTTTTTGAGGATAAGGTTTGGTTTTAGAGTATTTAAATTACAGATGTACAAGTAACTATAAAGGTGGGTCCGTGGTTAAAGTCGTTTAGTTCAAACCACTCGCCTCTCACCTCTGTGGGTTCGAATCACACCATGGAGTTTGAATTCTTTCATTTCAGGAACCGTCTAGCTTAACGGAACGTCGGTGGTTCTAATAAAGTGCCCTTTCATGCCTGTAATGATGCACGGAGGGACACTTAGGGTCTTTCTCCACCAGGAAGGCGGGAAAGTCGCCACATGACCTCTACTGTGCTGGTGCGACGTAAAACAAACAAAAATGTATGAAAAAAAATCCTGCAATTGAGACGTTTTACTAATATCACCTTTGTTTCAATAAAGAATAACCCTTTGGAAAAGATGACACAATTTAAAAAAAATCAAAAAGAAAAACGCAGATAAACAATTTGTCCAAGTAACGATGAAGGAACACATTTTCTTACATTGGTAAATGACCATAACAATATTATCATGACTATTGTTTTCGTTAGCATTTCATTGGCCGTTACGATTTTCTTTGATTTTAAAAAAAAAGAGAACGCTATACATATATATGTAATGAAAATTCTTCATATCAACAACTTTGCTAATATTTCAGCGAGCTTTGAAGCGGACCTATCTTACTTTTAAATGTATTCCTTGATATCAAAGGAAGACATTGTTATTGCATTATCAATGCGTTATACTTTGTACGATATAAGATAATTATTGCAGAAAGATTTTAAAGAATAGTGAAAAATATCATTATGTTAAAATTTGTTATAAAGAAAAAAAAACAGTGTGTACGGAATGATATAACCACTTTTTTACTTTAATTTTACTGTCAATTGATATAAATATTGAGATAAAAACGAAAATAAGGTGTGCTTTTACAAATTATTTTTTCTATCTTTAAATTTGAGAAAAAAAATGAATAAACTAAGTATGGGAAACTGCGTTCCATTCTTCAGGTCAAGTAAAGTTGGTCTTTGTCTCTGAGTAAAGTCGGTCTTTGTTTTTGTCAGTTTTTTTTAATGGCACTATGATTATATTCATATTGTGACCACCAAATAGTTTTAAACATAATATGTCTATCTTCTTTGTTTGAAGTTAATTCATGTAGCAATTATCAACATGTTCTAGTGTCAAATTTGAACATAGTACATCTTTTGAATTGGAGAGAAAAAATCAGGAAGCAAACAGAATCGTTTCAAACGATTTCTGATGATTTTCTGTGTACATACATAACTCGATGAAGAGAAAAAATGCATGAAGTTTGAAAGAATGCTTGGGACAAAGTTTTGCAAATATACATTTATGTGGTTCAAATAATAATATACAAGCGACAAATTTCTAAAGTAATGTTTTATTGTCGGACTATCAAAGTAAACCTATCAATTTATCAGAATGATCATGTTACAAGAAATGCAATGGTAAAAGGAATACAATTAGACTTTTCCTGAAATAATGTCATTTAAAAAACATTTATTTTTATTCACTTATGTAGAATTGCGAGATTTTCTCTTCATTTTTTCGAGTGTATTATAATGTGTGTTAACATTTTATGAAAATACTTCTTGCCAACATTATTATATTCACTCCCCTCAAATATCCATAAATCGGTCCATTATTCAGTGAAATATTTCTTTTTCACGTAGTTTTAAGCACTCGCACATTTCCGAATATACGTATTGGTACTAGATTCTTTTACAATATTATTTAAAACAGTGGTCGTTTGACGTTGTGTAGCTTTGATTATAAACTCTACAAATGGATCTCCCGTACGTAAATGCGTAACACCCGAACTCGGCACATTTCTGCACGCAACCGTCATATGACATTTCATTTGCGTAAGGGGAGGTCAAACGGTCGCCAGGCAACAGTTTAACACCGTTGATCACATCATATTCATCTAACAGCTCTCCCTCACATTCTAAAAAAGAAAAGAAAATAAAATGACGTCAAAAGACGTTAACGTTGTCACTGACGTTTAAAATACAAAAAAGTAAGTTACTCTCAAAATGTTTAAGAACAGGTGACAAGAAGCAAATTCTTTATTTTTTTTCTCGTTTATTTCAAAAGCTATATAATTCAATTTCTTAAAGAATTCAACATGTTAATTAAAAATGAAAGTGATATTAAGAGTTGTTTTCAATGAAATAAAAACGACAACAAGTGATTCGCCTGGTGTAAAACGGTTAAAGAGACTTAAATAGTGTACATGGAACTAAATTTGTATATACATGTTTCATACATGTACACATGTTTTATTTCATCAAATAAACACCATTAAGTATTCATTTTACCACACCTGTAACAACATACCATTTTTTCTTAAATAAAATCTCTTAAAATATCTTGTATACAATTTACAATTCTCATGTCTCGATTTCATTTTAATTTTAATTAGAATATATGAGCCGCGCCATGACGAAACCAACATATGGGTTTGCGACCAGCATGGATCCAGACCAGCCTGCGCATACGCGCAGTCTGATCAGGATCCATGCTGTTCGCTATCAGTTTGTTTACTTGTTATAGGGTCTGTAAGCGAACAGCATGGATCCTGATCAGACTGCGCGGATGCGCAGTCTGGTCTGGATCTATGCTGGTCTCAAACCCATTATGTTGGTTTTGTCGTGACGCGGCTCATATCTCATGCACGTTAGTCATTGTCGTGGCAAATATACAGTTAACTTTTGGAACATTTTTGCCCAAGAAAACTTTTGCCAAGGAAACACAATCCTATTATAATACCTGATAAACGATTTTTTCGAAACACAAAAGACACTTCAATTCTGTATTGAAGAACTCTTAGGTCCAAAAGTACAAAAAAAAAATCCCACACAAAAAAAAACAACAAAAAAAATGAATTTCTTAAATAGATCAGCTGGGGCACATAAAGTGGAAAGCTATGCAAGAATACAAATTATTTAGAAATATTCTCTTAAATACATTTAAATTGTATTGTTGTGCCACTTCTAGCCCGATTTGAGTAAAGAGAGTTTTTACTTGAATCCTTGCTTTGCACATAAGTTTTTGGTCTAGACAGTAAAAAAATTGCAAATTTGTCTCAAAACATTACTTCGAGTCCAGCCATGACAAAAAACAGCAACAACAAGAAAAAAGAAGAAAAAAAAAAGAAAAAAAAAACAACATCTGTCGCTATATACATGAAAGTAAATAAGTATAAATATTTTTTAAGGACACTGACATCGTGAATATACTCAACGCTTTTCAATTTGAGGTCATTTTTTCACAAGAAATGAAAAAAAGAAGGAAAAAAACAACATCTGTCGCTATATACATGAAAGTATATAAGTATATATATATTCCTTATATTATAAGGACACTGACATCGTTAATATACTCAATGGTAACCTAAATACATTCAGATACACCCGTTCCGTCCGTTATAAAGTAGAATTTAATAAAATTTGTAATGCAATAAAGTGACATTAAATGCATTAAAATTGCTTAAGAAAGGAATGACTAACTGTTTTGTACTCTGCATATTAAATATTGATGTAAGACAGCAAGAAATAGCAATTTTTATTTGCAAATTTTAATTCGTTAATAAGTCACTACTTACCATTGTAAATTGACCATACATCGTTCCCAGCTAGTTAATAAAACAAAGAGAAATTGATAAATAAAAAAATCGTAAAAGACAACGATTATAACAATATTAACGTTTTGATAATTTCACAATATATACAATAAAATATGCTTATAACAGTAGAATTATAAGAAAGTACAGGATGCTTAACTTTCCGTGGCGAAATTAACCTTTACTTTTGATAATAATAATAATAATAATAATAATAATAATAATAATAATAATAATAATAATAATAATAATAATAATTACAATGATAATAATGAAATAATAAAAAAAGAAAACAACTGTCTAAAACCTTGTTTTATGCTAACATTTAAATTGGAAATTAACATTGCTTACACAATTAAGAAAATAGCGTAGAATGTGAAAAAAAATCTTAAGGTAGTAAAATATGAAATAAATTAGTAATTTGACTTCTACATAATAAACTTAATCACTATAATTGTACTACACGTTATTGCCAAATGGTATAAGACGCGGAAAAGATAACTTTACTATATTTCTCCTGTGAAAACGGTTAGAATACGCACACAAATGAGACCTTTAACAATTTTCCTACAACAAATAACACTCCCATATAGAAACCAGAGACAAAAGCACGCATTATATATAATTTGACCGAACAGAAGCCGTTTCGGTTAAAGATCCTGCAACTCAATTTTTTTATCGTTTTATATCATATCAAATATAACTGCAAATCGGCTCTTACTCGACAGTAATTAGTGTAGCCACTTTTTCATGAAGAGACCAGTGCTGATAGTGAAAATTGTGATTGGCATATTTTAATTAGCCAGGTCAGGTGTTTCTAAAAAGGCTGATAACACTGTTGCAATGTGAGGATACATTCAAATTTATTACATAGATAATGCACGTGGAGCTCAGCTCGCAGAGACAAATGAGAACACAGTAACTTTTTGATATCCTTTTAACTCTAAGAAAAATGTTAATTATTAATTGCTGACTGTTTATATTTTCTAGAAAAAGTAAGCAAAACATTATTTTGTTTCATATGACAGGAATGAATGCATTAACAATCCTAGGTATTGTTGAAAACTCATTGTTTTACATGCCAGATTAAGTAATTGGACACCATCCTTGTTTGTACGTGACTGCTGGGGAAAAATAATGTTATGCTTAATTAAAGAGGTGACACTTTCTATATTTTTATCTGATATCAAGTTGTAAGAGCCGATTTGCAGTTATATGGGTAAGAGTTCGATAAGACTCCCTACGGTCGTCTTAATACGAACTCTTACCCATACATAATGCTCAAATGAAGATTTATCAAAAAGTTCCAAAAGCATTATTTGTAAAGATATTTTCATGCTGATAAAGGGAAATCATTAGAAATTTATTTTCTATAAAGTCTAAAACAAAGTTTTCAATAAGAAATAAATGCAAATTTTTTTTAATGATTAAATATAATGTGAACAAATATTTGCATTACATATTTTACATATTCTTTGATGTTTTTACAAGCATATTTCCATATACTTACATATTTACTTATATATTTACATATATAAGATTTCATTTAAGTGTGGTAACAACCTTTACCACCGTGTTTTAGCGGTATGAAAAAATACACGTAGTTTTACATCAAGATTCAGAAAGCAGTATTTCAATCAACAGCTGCTGTGCATATGTACATTTTCACATGTACCATATTACATATACAATATTAAATCAATTGCTTGAAGTGTCGTTTCTGTTGCCGCTTTTTCATTTCTTTTTTCTTTTTCTTTTGTTATATTATGAAGGAATTTAATCACATCACATTCTTCTGATTTTGCAAATGATATAACATTTTTATAAGTTTGTGACGTCATTAAAATTCCAGGCATATTTTCTGTAAGATATAACTAAATGTTTTATCAAAATGCGTTTTTTTTGTGATTTTTGACTTTCCATTATCATAAAAAATAAAAAAAAAACAAAAACAAACAAAAACAACATTAATGTGCACTAATACTACTTGTTTTAAAGCACATTTAGCCCCTGATTTGAATACCATTATTCTTCTGAGAAAGGACAAAGCCATGCTTTATATTAAGAATGCTTTATTATATACTTACACATAAAGAATGATTTGAATGTGAAATATCCCGGTAAGTCATAAAAGTGGGAAAACGTAAACAAGTGTTATGATGTCTTTCATATGATTATTCAAATTTTGTAATTTTTCTAATTGCAAAACAAAACAAAAAAGAAGCAAAAAGAAACAAAAGATGACTGAATTTCGGTTGTAAGTCAAAAACTCTAATAGAACGCCAGAGGCGCATACGCGCAGTCTGATCAGGATCCATGCTGTTCGCTTACAGACCCTATAACAAGTAGAGAAACTGATAGTGAACAGCATGGATCCTGATCAGCCTGCGCGGATGCACAGGCTGGTCTGGATCCATACTGGTCGCAAACGCGCTATGTTTGTTTTTATCTCGACGCAGCTCAAATAATAGTATTTGTGGGGGCTCAATGACTTTGGGACCTTAACAACAAGCTATCCTTTATCAAGATCTCGAAGAGTCGGGCATATGTACGATTTCCCCTAAATGATTATCTTAAAAAGCGTTAATTCGACCTGAATTCTGTTTTGATTATGCTCATCAGCATTTCAATGATCGGAAAGCTACGAAAAATGCCGATTTCTTACGAACAATGTGAACAAAGAGACATTGTTTCGTCAAATAAAAAAAGATAACAAGAAAAAACATAGTTACCGGAAATAGGTGGTGGTCGACATTCGCAAAATGTTCCATTGTATCCGTCTGAGTCTGAACAATCGCACTTAATTTGGTTTCCAACAAGTTGGCATTCATGCCTTTGTCTACAACCACCTGGTTGTTCAATAAAATAGAAAATGATACCTAGAGTCATGCATTTATATTTGTTTCAGAAATAGATTTGATAAGCGGGTAACAAAAAAAAGCTATAAAGAATTTAAAGTCGAGAATTAAAGCCACATGATTGTTAACTTTATATCTCCTACGTATAAAATTATTGTTTAAAGTATCAAGAAATCGGTCAAGATATTTAATGGATGTTATAAAGCAACGACTGTTACTAAGATATAACTTTTTACTATTTCGTAATTATTTGATAACATCGACGGTGTAATGGTGCGTAAAAATTAAAAAAATATGTAGGTGTTGATTTAGAAAAAAAACAACACTTACAATGCCAACATGTTTTACTACCATCTGGTCCCAAACATACTTGGCCACTCGCTGTACACTGAAATATGATTTCACATTTTAAATGAAACGAGTTGAGAAATAAATCATTATAAATAAGTCCACATATGTTTAACAATCAATATTGTGAAAAGCATACTTAGGGGAATAAAGCAGAGATAGGACTACTGTCATTTGCCTTAACCATCCTTTAGTTTTATACGAATATTGCGGGATGGCTCAATGCAAAAAAGGCGACGTCCGGGCAGCATTCAGTTTGTCCTATTCATATTTTCAAAATGATGTGGGGGATTTAAGATTAATTAGCACAACTGTTCATATAAACAAATATAAACAAACATAGATCTGGAGGCATGCAACTTTGTATCTGAACTATTCGTATATGTATTTCACTTCTTTTTTTTCCGAAACTAATAAGAATTGCAATACAATTGACAATTACATTATAATATTAGCTAATAGTAACGAAATCATCTTTATAAATTCCCAAAATATCAGATTTCTTTTGGGTATTTTTAACAGTTACGAATTGGTTTCAAAGCAAGATTAAAAAAAAAATTAACGAAAAACATAAAGTGTTTTGTTATAAAGATCAGGTTTTATTTGAATTAGTAAAACATAATGTATATAATTATAAAACGAAACAAAAATCTATATGACTTACATCAGCATCCGTGGCGCATGATTTCCTCTCGCAACTCGCCTCCGAAAGCTTCAGAACGGTCGCCGTTCCTATTAGAAACTAGAAACAGGTAAAATAATGAGTTCCATTGGCAACAATCAACCAAAATGTCATTTTCATATGGTCATTGGTATACATGACAATAAAAGATGAATAACTAAATACATAGTTAATAAGATAAAAAAAGATAGTATAATGTTACATGCGCAAGGAAATATTCATATCTTAATTCAGATACTTTCCAAAACGAGAACAACTATGAAGAGAAAATGATCAAGAAAATAATAAAGCTACGCATATAAACATATTTTGTCCGTTTATAAATTTGAAAATTTTCGTGATTCCAAAAGTAAATGTATGTTTTTATTACTAGTAACTGAAGTGACATATTGACCTGAAAATTATATAAATGATGATAATGATTTTCTATTTAAAAAGTGAAAAAGGATGACGAACAGCAGATAATTTTACGAATAGATGAAAACACGAATAATAAAAATGATGATAATAACAAATTTGAAATAAAGGTTACTGGCAACTGATTACCCAAGTAGCCGATCGAACGTCGAAGTATCGGTTAATACGAATAAGTACTAGGTAGAAAAAGGATTCACTTCATAGGGCCTCAAATAAAATATTTGTGTCTCCCCTCCCGCTACATACCCACTTTAATCGTTGCTACCTACTTTTTTTTATTGTAAACAAAATGTTTATTTTAGTAATAACATGGAAACAGTCTGTCAATCCGTTACATGTTAAATTTAACTTTAGTTATAAATCTTAAAAATATGTTAAGCATTCTCACTTTTTTATTAAAGTCCATATAATTCATACAAAAAAAATAATCACGGTTATAAAATAATATTTTTATATTGAAAAAAATAAAATATTTACCTACCTACAAACCTGACCCAAATTGACGATGGTTCGCGGGAGGGGTAACAAAGATAATTTCAAGGCTGGCCTAGACGCCAAATATTATATACTAATAATATGTTTTGATAGATGAATATTTATTGTATAAAAAATAAATTCATGATGAATTTCATATAAATGTTAACAGAATAGTTTACTTACTATTGCGAATAAATTCAAACCAAGTCTTTCCATATTAAAGCAGGTTTCTCCACAAAGAGCACAGAATTTCACCTATGTAATGAACGCTACAATGTTTAATTTGTAAAAACGCTGATATTGCGTATAAACTAGAAACGCAAAGAAAGAATTTCAAAAGCAGTTCTAGATTTTATGACGTGAATATATAAATCTCTTTATTTGCTCGTTAAGACATCTGTTACTATCACATTTCCCATTTGTCCTTTTGTTTGTTTGATATTGTCTTGCCAAGACTATATCTTGTTATTCATGCGAGAATAATTAAACAAAAAAAATAAGAAGATAACTGGGGGACGCCGATTTCGCGCAACACGTCACTGTGAAACGTGGGAATCTGTATTAGGGTAGCACTCCACAGTTAATTTCAAGTTCCTGCCGTCAATGTCCAACAAGCAATACGTCTAATAATTCTGATACCAAACTACACAACCTGGAAAAAGAAAACACATTTTGTTGAGAACATATATGACATAAGATTGCAATTCTACAAAGAAATTTTCCCATCTGCAATAGGCAGACAGTCAAAAAAGTTGCAATTCATTCCGTTGAAGCCCAAAATCTACAGTGGCCCGAGACCCAAAACAACACAGTTCGTCCCCCTGGCAAATAATATCTGCAAATATACAGGCTAAAGGAACACCGTCTCTGCTTTAGCAACTCCCTATACATTCAAAATATCACAAAGAAACAAGTCCTCAACCTTGTAGAATTTTTGCTACTGCCAAAAGTTTGTACCTCCCTGTAACATGACTTTTTTTACTGTGCATGCTCTTTAAAAGCAATGTTTACAAAACATGGCGGCCTTGACATATATAATCAACAGCATGTGATTTCTGGCCATGTTTTCGAATTTGCCAGTGATCATATTAGATGTCACAAAAACAAATGCTGAAAATGCATTTTAAAGACAACCAGTCATTTAAATCCAGAATATTCACTATATCCAAGAAATCCTCCCTGGCAATTCGAAGCTGTGGCTTACATTACTGTGGTTTGCTGCCTAGTATCCTCCGGTGAAATGAGCGACCGGTTGCTCCTTTTCTTAAGATCTTTTTAAAGCCATGAAAAGAAACATTCAGTCGTACTTCCATAGTCAGTTTAAATTTAGAGATTAAAGATTTGTACGCTTTATTGAATTTTGATTAAAATCGTAAGGTTTTTTTAATCAAGTTAGAAAAACATTTAAAGTAGTTTTAATATTGTTATATTTTTTAAAAGGAGTGGTGGGTGAAGGTGGGGTTGTAGGCAGATGCATGGGCGTTAAAGTCCTTTGACAAAGATTGTTTGTTTTTGTTTTCTGCAAACTCAATTGCTCACAGATGAGAATTCACCTGACATTGCCCCTTGTGACTTCTATTTATTTCCAAAGTTAAAAATATATGTTATGTAATTATCTGTTAACAATTCAATTCTGAGTATATTTGTCTTCTTTTTTTTTCATTTTTTCCCCACTTTGGAAAATTTTCAAATTTCATGTTTTAGGCTTTAGTGGGGGTCCTTTAAAGTATATACACTATAATGAGTCATTTGTCTATGATTCATTTTAGCTGTATTATGAAAACAGAAATCAAAATTCCCTGACAATAAATTAAATGTTATATTTTGTATTTCTAGCAATGATTTGACTCACGTCAGCTTACTTTTAATATTTGCATACATATATGTTATCCTTTGTTGGAAAGACGTTCATTATTTTCATCACTTACAAAGAAAAAAAACAACACATAAACAGCTGTCCGTTTAATTGTTGTTTATCTTTGACAAATTCGAATCAAAGCGAGTCTGAAACATTTTCAATTTTGATTTGTGTTTGGCAGTTTTAATTTGTTTCCTCTTTATCTGTTTTAACAACAACTCACATATAACTATGAGACTGTCATATATAAGACAGATTCAATCATTTGACCTTTTGAACTTTGGAGAAGTTTATTTAACCATTAGAGAATTAACATGTAGTGTTCTGACGCTATCCAAGTCATCATCACATTAAAGGTAAATTTTTGCGAAATGTGGAAATACAGAAAAATCCATCTTGCGCGTTTCATGATTGTATCGTAAACTGTTTAAATTACATTAAACGTGGATTGGTCAACAATCATAAGAATTTCAAATGTTGATATATACAATAGTAATGTATCATTGGTCTATTCTTTTAAAATGTTACTTGACAAAAAATGCTGATAATATTGTAGGTTATAAAGTACGATCATTTATTTGATGAGTATTGATATCTTGTTCTAGAACTATTATATACGGAATATATACGGGATATTATGTTGAGGTAGCTTTCTGAGGTTTGGTATTTTGCTACGAGCAGCGGTGGTAAATTGATATCTCGCGAGACCTTCGGGTCTCGCGAGATATCAATTTTCCAATGTTGCGAGTAGAAATATACATAGCCTCAGAAAGATACTACAACATATTTTTCTTTTTATTATATAACTTTTCGTTTGGTTCAGAAAATGAAATTTAGTTAAGTTCTTTTTGACGAATGAATACGTTACTCTTGCAAAACCGGCCTGGCCTGTAATTATTTTGGTTCCCGTTTCCAAATGTAATATTATACAAAGCTAAGATGGGAACCAACATCAAAAAAAGTCCGGCACTTCCGTATAAGGTAGTGTATTTGTCACTAACATAATACGAACTTTTATATCCGTTGAAACGTAATCGCGCTCCTAGATTTGTGTGTATTTAAGGGAGAAAATTATAGGTATATAATAATTTTCATTATCTGCTTTATAGATGCATGTACTTGTATATGTAAAATAGAATTCATTATCTCACACGTTCCACCAACATCCATATATAATTCTTGATACTAAATAGTATCAACATAATTATTTATTGGGTTACAGACCTTCAATAATTATAGAGCTGTTAAATTTATCTCAAATTCAAACTTATACAATTTAACTTAATGCTTACTTTTAAAAATGTTTTACAATCGAAATAATATATTTCATCTGCATATAATTGTAAAGGACACCATCGTTTGACAAAACTTACTTTAAGTGTTTATTTTTTACGAACGTAAACACATTCCTTTATCATATGACTAAAATCTTTATTATTTTTTCACTTTGATTGCATGTCATCAAGTTTGTAAACAAAACAAATCAAAGAAGAAAAAAAGAAGATTTTTTTGTTGAAAAAGTAGAATATAAAGTCAAAGCATATCATGCGGAGTAAATCCTTTAAAACCTGGAATGTTTCATTTGAAATGTAAGAAAATATTCTATGTTATCTATATATCAGACATTAGACGAACAAACTAATGTTCTATCGAATTATTAATTAGCATTTCGTTTAGGGTCATTCAAAGGTCATTGGAAACATGTTGTACGATAAGTGTACCTATTTTCCTTTAACTATAAAACTGACTTTTGAAAATAACCACGAATCAGTAATCTGTAACAAACCGAAAGCTTATTTCATATTTTGCATTTGATACGTATCTGACTGTGTTTATTTATAGGAAAGTTTTTTATAGACAGGACTGATTTTGAGAATTTGGCTCCCTATAAGATGCTAGAGGCATTTTGTAGTACAAGAGGTATCTTGGTGTATTTTACCTATTTAAGGTATGCTGAATCCGATAAAGGTGGATACCGAATTGAAAAACTTGATCTTGACCATTGAAATGGCCATTTAAAATGACCACTAAAATGGCCGCCAAATTTCTTTATTATAAATGGATGATATATCAAAGAAAGGAAAAGCCTGAAATTTGTCAAAATGCATGTTTAGGTAAAAACAAAATAACCGCCTCCGTGGTCGAGGGGTTAGAGTCGATGACTTCTAATCCAGTTACCTTTCTGGCGTGGGTTCGATCCCCGGGAGATGCTTTGGTAGTCTAGCGCGGAGGAAGGTAGTCTAGTACTGGTGTAACTCTCCAGGAACGATGGTTAGGAAACTACCCGCCTATATGACTGAAATACTGATAAAAAAGGCGTAAAATGAAGCAAACAAACAAGCAAAAGACACCAAAACAGAATTAAAAGCACAAAACAATCCAATATGGCCGAAAAATCCAAGATGGTAGACATTTTTCTATAGGCTAATATAATAGTAATATAGAAGTAATATTAAAAATAGTACTGAACATTTTAAGGCATTTAAACATATTTACTGCACTCTTTCCTGCCCTATATGCTAGATTTTATCTGGCACTCTATGCCTTCAGCGTTAAGATGTGTGAGGGAGTTAAAACATGTGCATACAAAATATACATTAATTAAAGGCATTTTTCTCTGAGTACCCTTGGGTTTTGGTGTTCGTTTTTCTCTTATCGTTCGTCGTCTTTGTTCTTCTGTTATCGGTTCTCGTCGCATTTCTCTGCTGTCAGGTATTGTGTTATTGGTCGTGACTTTCGTTCTTCTGTTATTGGTTGTCGTCGCAGTTCTATTGTTGTCAGTTCTTCTGTTATTGGTAGTGATCTTCGTTCTTCTGTAATCGGTCCTGGTCTCAGTTCTTTTGTTGTTAGATCGGTTCTCGTCTCTGTTTTTCTGCTATCGGTCGTCGTCTTCGTTCTTCTTACGTTCTTATGTTATCTGTTCTCTTCTATTCTTCATTTTTTTCTGTCATAGGTTCCCGTCTTATGTTATTCTGTTATCGGTCCCTGTCCTGTTCTGTTATCGGTTCTCGACTTCGTTCTTTTGTCATCGGTTCTTGTCTCTTTTCTTCTGTAATCAGTCCTGGTCTCCGTTTTCTTGTTGTCAATTCTTATGTAATCGGTTCCCGTCTCTGTTATCGATCACCGTCTCCATTCGTCTATCATCAGTCAACGTCTATATTCTTCTGTTATCGGCCCCTGTTTCTGTTTTTCTGTTATCGGTCGATGTCTCTGTTTGCTTGTTGGTAGTTCTTCTATTATCGGTCCCTGTCCTGTTCGCTTGTTGCTAGTTCTTCTGTTATCAGTGGACGTCTTTGTTCGCTTGTTGCCAGTCCTTCTGTTATCGGTAGTCCTTGTCCTGTTCTTCTGTTAGAGGTCTTCTGCTCTGTTAGCTTGTTGGCAGTTCTTCTGTTATCGATCCCTGTCTCTGTTCGCTTGTTGCCAGTTATTTTGTTATCAGTGGACGTCTATGTTCGGTTGTTGCCAGTTCTTCTGTTATCGGTCCCTGTCTCTGTTCTTATGTTGTCGGTCCTCATCTTTGTTCGCTTGTTGTCAGTTCTTGTCTTCGTTTTTCCTTCTTTTATCGGTCTTGTACTTTCGGTACTTGTTTCCTATTCCGTTAAGGTCTTATCTTGTTTCTATCGTTGCCATCATTCTATTTCAATGCCCTGGTTAGGTCAATCTCGTAGTCATTTATTCGTTCAGTGGAGTAGAGGGGGATCGAACTCACGACCCCTTGATTTGTAGGCAGACAGTGTTACCACTGCACCATAGCGCCCGCTCTGATTAAGAACCATTTTTAAAAATCCTTTATACATTAAAT